CCATACAGTGTGCTATGAGGGAAATTTTGCACGGGCAACGGCGCTACGGACTACTCTTATATCGAATTCCAACTGCCAAGGTGTCTTTTACGTGCACGCCAATGTGTACACGGGTCCTCGGTTTTTCGTTTCATTCGAACTCCTAGACAGCAGTCCTTGTCAGACCCTCCATCACTGACAAGGGGAAACCACGCCGGAAAATCTGAATGAACTTTCTCGGCCAATGCAGGGATCGAACACCCGACCTCCAGGCTAGCGAGCCAACGTCTTACCCACTTAGCCACGTGCTCCCCCAACACCCCATCGTGGTAATATGTAATTAATAAAGAGCATATAACACCACATGGTCATGATAAGTAAATATGAATGGGTTAGAACACACCATATCGTCGTGATATATATGGGGACGTTAAACCCCATTTTATTTTATTTCTGACTTCTTCCCTTTCAATGTTGGTTATGTGTATTTAACCTTGACTTTAATCACAGGTGTTTTCTTGTTTTGTATTTCACCTTAACTTTAATCACAGGTGTAAATGATTTTTATGATAATTAGTGATATATTATTGATATACGTATATATAAGTATAGTTTATGATATATTAAATACCTATCGATATATAAATATGATATTATGTTATATTAATACATATATAAATATAGTTTATGATATATTAAATACCCTGAACAGCTCCCCTTTATTTGATGAGTCGATGATATTAACACCTGGGTTTATGTTTATGGCTATTTAACAGATATCTATCAACTGTGTTACCCCTTCCATGGTGGCTCAGTGAGTAAGACGCTGGTTCACTAACCTGGGCACCCGGTATTGACCGAGAAAGTTTCTCGGGGTTTTCCAACATGGTTTCCTTTTGTCAGTGGTGGATGAAGGGAGGGTCTGGCAATGTCTAGTCGTTCGGATAGGACGAACAAGAAACCTTGGAATTCGATGAATTGTAGGTAAAAATCCCTCGTTGAAGACTGAATGGCGTAGGGACAATAACATACCAAGTTAAACTTCATTTTATTTAATCCTATTATAGACAATGGTTTAATCCTAGACATTGGTTTAATCTTTAAGATAGATTGCTTCGTATACAACATTGGTCACCAATAGAATTAGAAAAGATGACTGCCTTCAACACACGAGGTCTCATCATGCGGCGTCAATCATTGAGTGAATGGCGCCTGCATTGTTTACATAAGACGTTAATGATTCGAGCAGAATGGCTCATTTTAATACCCATTTACACTAAATAGGAAATAATTTTTACCTACAAATACTCGAAACGTCTTTATTTATTTTTCTAATACATAAAAAAAGAAATGTTTTAGAATTTAATTTGTCGGAGGAAAAAGGTTAATATTTGTGGCTCATTAAGTCGCATCGATGTCATCCTTATCAGTAATTGAGGGGGCCTGGCGAATAGTCACTGTTGATCAGTGTGCTAAAATATCTGAGTTAAAACTATATTTGGAATGTGTTTAACCAGTTCTATCACATTAAATAATATTGGTGGACACCATATTGCCCTTTAAGTGTTTTCTATTATATTTCACTTGGGTCACTCTCTTACTTCCAGCTAGTAATATTTCTATATTGTATAATAATAGTAATAGTGTATATTTCTATATTGTATAATATATGTCTATATTAATAGTGTATATTTCTATATTGTATAATAATATTAAACATCAAGAGCTAAATCTTCCTATTACCGGTCTTTCTTTAGACCTAAAATGTTATATAAACTATTAATTAGACATTAATTAACTTATACACACCATAATCAACTCTAGATGGCATAGGGTTTCCCCGATATCAAATAGATTAGAACGGTCCAGCCATTTGATTTAAGCTAAAAATGGAGGAGCGAGACTTAGCTTCGAACAACCAGTGTGGTGGTTGAAATTATTGCACACGTCTTGTCAAACATTCAAAGGGTAATATATGGTAATTTGAATTAAATTTTCAAATTATTCATTTTACATTATCTATATGTTTGAACTATTATAACAACTATTATAACAACTATTATGGCCAGCTCTTTATCTAAATATTACATAATGTATCTTTAAAGGGTTAAACTGTTAGTTGTATATATATAATAATATGTATTGTATATTATAAGTTTTATAGTATAATAATAATGTGTAGTATTATATAAAAGATCTTGTTGAGGTCACCAGGTAGTTGATTAAATATTCTATTCTCTCTCTATATATATAATACAGGTATTATACAGGTATTGTATATATATCTTTATAAAGCACCTATCAAGTCAGTGTAGTAATGTTAAATCTATTATGATAATAGACCGTGTGATTTGATCTATTGGCTGTATTGTGTAATGAACAATCGAGACTTGTTCTTTAGACAGTATTAAACAGTCTTAGCTGTGTTCAAGCCCTTCACTTGTTTACTGTAAAACTTTTACAACTATACGGTTAAACAATAATAACATACTCGACATAGTGGGGCAGGAGAGAGAGAGAGGGGGAGAAATGGGGTTTAACGTCCACTCGACACAAACTAGGTCATTTTGGGACTAACATATGGTTTAATTTTATTTACATAATTCGCTTGCGCATAGGGGTCTTTAGCAATGGGAGGAAACCGGAGGACCCGGAGAAAACCCACGAGGTTGGACAGGCGACCCTACTCCTTGTCACGTACAAGTGGGACAGGAACCGGATTATATATATATTAAGTATATTGGTCATCACAAATAGAAATAAGATATTAGTTTTTCGGCGGTGCTATTAATCACCGATAAGGACAGACAAGGGGCGTGTTTTGGTCTAAGCGTCCAAAATATAGCAAAACGTGACCGAGAGAGAGAGAGAGAGAGAGAGAGAAAGGGAGAAATGGGGTTTAACGTCCACTCGACACAAACTAGGACATTTCGGGACTAACATATGGTTTAATTTTATTTACATAATTCGCTTGCGCGTAGGGGTCTTTAGCAGTGGGAGGAAACCGGAGGCCCCGGAGAAAACCCACGAGGTTGGACAGGCGACCTTACTCCTTGCCACGTACAACCGGTTATTCGAAACCACGCCAGTCGACTCAATGACAGACTTTATGATACAGCGCGCGCACGCTAACCATTCAGCCATCCACCCCCCACCCCCCCCCCCACAAAAGTGACCGACAAGGAAACGATATGTTATAGACATGTATAGTCTACATATCATATCCATTAATGATTTTATATATAAAAAATGACAAAGTTATGAGTAAGTGATATTGACCAAAAACGCTATTGCCCGTCCCTGTCGGTGACTAGTAGCACACATTTTTGAGTATACAAAATTTTTGACAAATTGTTAACTGGAAACTGTTGTCGTTTCAACAACACAAAGAAATGGAATTGGGGAGGGAAGGGGGTTTGGGGAGGTAACGTTCTACTTTCCTGCACTGACCGGGATAATAAACATGGGCACAATGACCAATATTTCTGTGATGCTATTTGATAATCTGAATGCATTACTATACTTCATAGTGAGGCGACATCATCCTTTGATGTTGGCGTACCATTATTTCAAATAATAGTACGGGCAATGTGCCAGGGGTACTACTAGTTGCAATATTGGACCCGCGTGACGTATTTCATTGAAATGCACGTGCTGGATAGTGTCTATATTTTAAGATGTTTATTGATCTCGTGCAAGACATTGTGTGATATATAGATATAGCCCTTGTACAATATCAATATATTACTTTATGTCTCGCACTCGACCATTAAACTACACTTACATTGTAATTTGATCGGTCAATTATGTAATCTTCAGAATCTTTAGAGGAAATAAAGACATGTATACATAAGTTATCGCCCCTGGTGTTAAAATATCCCAGCCCTGGAGAATTTTCCCTTACTCTTTTACACCATCCATGCCCGGTCGGAGCAGAACAGTTAGACCACTATTTCATTTCATTTCTTTTACACCATGTTAAAATATCACAACCCTGGCGAATTCCTTCCCTCTCCTTATCATCGTGGTAAATGAAATGAAATGGGGTTTAACGTCCTACTGCACGGCTCAGAACTGGGCTAATGAAGACGGGCATACACCTTACAGTGTGCTATGAGGGAAATTTTACTCGAATAACAGCGCTACTGCCTACTCTTATATTGAATTCCAACTACCAAGAGATCTTTTATGTGCACGCCAATGTGTACACGGGACCTCTAGACAGCTGTCCTTGTCGGGCCCCCCGTCCTGCATCACTGACAAGGGGGGGGGGGGGGGGGGACACGTCGGAAAATCTGAGTGAACTTTCTCAACCAATGCAGGGATCGAACACCCGACCTCCAGGCTAGCGAGCCAGTGTCTTACTCACGTAGCCACCGTGATCCCTAAGACACAAACGTTAAAAAAACCCGTTAAGCCTTCGTTATATATATTATTCGTAGCAGTCATATCGCAGTCAATAGAAATTTGGGTGAATGTTAAATAAATTATTTTATCCGTCTGATATTTGGTTTATGTAATCCAGGGGGTAATAATATTAATAAAAATATAATAATAATGATTTTAATCTCTCTAATGCTATTAAAAACAATATAATGATTGTTATTATAAGAGGTCAGGATTACAATTAATCCATTATTTTTAATTCTTTAATTCTTGGCTTTGTTGTACTCACTCGAGATAATAAATATGATTTGTTTGTCAATAGGTAGGTATTTTAAACAGGTAAGTATATATATATATATATGGTAGACTAATTAATTAATTATATTGTTCTCGAGGACAATAATTAATTAGTCACCCTGTGTTTTTTAAGTAGATAAAGTAGCTCAGCAGTAACTAAGATTAACTTTACCTATGTGTATATGTATATATATACCTATATCCCCCGCTCTATATATCACAGTTACTATCTGTCTCTCACACATATTCCACAGGTAGATTACCGTTATAACGTCACGTGACACTCATATATCACAGTAGTGTATTACCGCGTGCAAGTCGCGATCTGGTCTCGCAACAAGTCGAACAGAAGACAGGACAGAAGGAGAAGAGAAAATGTCGGAGTCGCTACGTCGCTTGGTGAATATTGGAACATTTACAGTTCTCCAGGAAAAATTAGAAAGATGGCTGGGTGATTATTACGTAAGTGACATTTTATTTTACTGCTCGTTATTTATTTGCTTGTTTCACGCTGCGAGTTGTCGTGTCATTCCCGTTCTAGAATTGTCGCGCTCAGTGCGTCCACGTCTCCATGACAACTGACAATGCGACAGGTAGTTGATTGTTAATGGCGGGTTTATGAATGCTACACTTTGTAACGTTATTTCGCTATCAATGATAAATAAATAGTAAATATTATTGAATATATGGAAAGATAATTTTGAAATATATCAGTATAATATATCGTAAAACATGTCGATGAATAAATTATAAAATTTAAACTGAATGAATACCTAGCAGGTAAAAACAGGTGCGTTAAAACAATTCAAGTCTGTACTAGTTGACTAAGATATACTAATAGTTATACGCCACTAATCTCAAATAGTTATAACTTATATAAACAATATAACATCAGTTTTTGGTACCATCCAAAGGACTATTCCTTGTCAAAAATCCCATTTTCTTAAAAACTGTTTCTTTTAATTTTTTTTTTCGTGTTACATACCCGTTTTTGTAAATTCAATCTCCAGAGATCAAGTTGAGTTTTGTTGTTCTAAAATGGTTGACACAACTTTTTAAAATTCGGATTATATATTTTATATATCAGCTCAGATTAATTGGATTAATATTTATATAACAAATTAAACCGCCAAGAAAATAAAAGTTTACTGTCAAGAGAACAAAAGTAATTAAAAGTAAAAGTCTTTCTATATAATGTTTGTCTATATAGAGTGGGGCCACAGTTGATCAGTCAACTGGTTCATTAACTGTAAGACCTTGAAAATACACAATTCTCTGAAATGCAGGTTTATTAGAATTTATGAAACCCTGGGTTTAATTCATGACTTGGTTGAGAAACTTTCCCATGATTTTCCAGCGTGGTTTGTCTTTGTCAGTGCTGCTCGTATCCAGTCATTCGGATGGTACTGATAAAAAGAGAAAGAGAGAGAAAAATAGGGTTTAACCTCCACTCTACACAAACTAGGACAATTCGAGACTAACACATGGTTCAGTTTTTATTTCAATAATTCGCTTGCGTGTAGGGGACTTTACTAGTGGAGAAAACCTACGAGGTTGGACAGGCGATCCTACTTCTTGTCACGTACAAGTTGGGAATCGAAATTATGCCAGTTGACTCAATGACAATTGACAGCACGTTAAAGATCCCTTTACAATTAGAAACCAAAATAAGAGTAGACTGTTATATATGACAGTTATGTAATAGTGTATATTACAGATAAACCTGTTATAAATCTCTGATATAAGCCTTTATATTGAACGAGACAAGTTTATTATATATTAAATGCTTAGCTGGCAGTTCCCCCGCCAATTATAGTCACTAGTCTAAACGTATATAGTAGTATTTTACCTGGCATAATGCCAGGTATTTAAGTCCTACCTGATCTACAGGTGTATGTATAGGTATATATATAAATCATTAGATTGAAATGATTAGTAGTAGTAGGTAAATATATAATACACTTTAAACCATTTACCGTAAACTGTTCAATAATATACCCCTAGATATCATTACCGTAAACTATTCAATAATAGACCATTGAATTAGATTTCATAAACTCATTGATATGTAGTCCCAAAATTACCTAGTTTGTGTCATGTGGGGATTAAACCCATGTCTCTCTCTCTCTCTCTCTCTCTCTCTCTCTCTCTCCCTCTCTCTCATTGAACTGTTTGAATAGAATGAAATGGGGGGGGGGAAGGTAACATCCTACTTTTCTGCACCAACTGGTCTAATATATTACATGACAGTATTAGAAGTTGAATAAAAAAACCTGACCGCCACACCAATTAAAAAAAAAATAATCTAAAAAAAAAAAAAAAAATGAGTTTCCCTTTTCAAAAGTTTTAGTTTCAAATATTTCAATCGTATAATTTTAACCAAAACCTTGTTCATTGGATTCACTAGGATATTTATATTTATCAAGATCACGAAGAAATGTAAATTAACTGAGTTTTGTCTTATTAAGACCTTGAAGAAATAAATTGTTTTGACCTATTATAGGTATATAGATTATTGATAAAGTGGGGTATATTTAATACAACAATAATATTATCAAGGGTAATGTGTTCTATTTATAATATTATTATAAAGTCATGGGTCATTACATACACAAATTAATCAATAAAAAACATCATTCTATAATACACTATAATAGGCCTGTGGTATAATCGTTACTACTGTCAAACTACAGAACTAATTATAACATCATAGTACTTGAACATCATTGATAAAACATCATTGATAATATCATCCACCACAAACAGATATCTAATATTATATATTATTAATTACAACATGTACAAACTTTGATCTGTGACAAATATAAATATAATGATAGCTATACATGATTAACAACTTTATCAGCAGTATTCTCTTAAAAAAAAAACATTGTTCATTTGTTATATGAATAAGACATGTCATAAATGCCCTGTTCACTTTGTACAATATTGTTTATATTATCATTATTCACATTAGATACACATTGTTCATATTGATATAAATGGTTCTCATTAGAATAATTGGTGAATGAAAAACTATAAGCCACCTGCCCATCCTTATTCTGTTTGGGACTGAAGGTATCCGGGCGCCAGCAGGTAATCAGGGCCTAGCCCGGGCCTAGTTTACATGACTGTATATGGTATATGATATGTTGTGTTAAATCGCAGTGTAGAAACAAAGTGACCCCAAATTATCCCACATGTATGCCAAACATTTTTCTAGCCCAAAGAAGAGAACCTCCGCGGAAAACCCAGACCCCCAACCCCTCGCCGAGTTTCTTGTCCTGGGACCCTGCGTTAAATATAAGCTGTATTATTAACCTGTATATAGAATTATTGTTATATATAAATACAAGTATATTTTTATTTCAGATTAACACGTGTGATCAGAATGTAGCAAGAGGCTGTGAAATTATTGAGTTGAATGCCAAAGTTCAAGGTCAACTGTTTAAACTGCTCAATGTTTGTGCTGCTGAAGGTAAATTAGTTTTTTAAATAAAAATACAATCTGATTAAAACACAGATCCTATTTCATTTCATTTTTTACAGTTCGAAATTTCGTTTTAATTGTCTTTACTACATGAGGATCTGGAAGAGTTGTTATTATTGACTTGCTCTGGATTACATGTATATGAGGGATTAGCCAATCAAACGATCTGTTATGGCAAATTTTTGGCGTGAGGTGCACGGAACTGTGTGTAATACACTAGAAACATCAACACTGATTGGTTAATCAAAAGTCTATCATCATAAGGTCAAAAGCCGCTCGTATGACCCCTGACACTATCTTCCACTATAACAAGTCAGATCTTTATGTAGTGTAGGCCATCGAAAGTATAAAAAACGAAATAAAATAAAGATCTGTATTGTAATCTGATTGTTAAAAATGCTGTTTTAAAGATTTCCTTCATAGCACAGTGTATGTTCGTCTTTAAAAGCCTAGTCGGTGTAGAAAAGTAGGACGTTAAACCCCATTTTATTTTATTTCATTTCATCTTGACTATCCTTCTTCAATAGGATTTATATTTTATGATTTTACAGGTGGTCTATATGGTGGAGCGAACATCATTAAATCTCGACTCCTACCATGGCTAGGACAAAGTTTCTTCGCTACTGGTGGTAATCTGTCCACAGATACAAGTCTCACCGTTCTAGCAGAATGCGCCGCAAAGGACAGGGAAATGAACCATCTTCAAACTATGTATGAGACATCCCTTGATGACCTTGAAGCTGATCTGAGGTCATTTAGAAGTGAAAATCAAGATCTCCGTGACGAGTAAGTAACTTGACCTTTTTACTCTCTTTAGATAGAACTAAATTTTAACTCTCTTCTGTATACAATTAAATGTATTAAAGCATAAATTGAATAACTCTGCGTGTTGCATGATAAAAACACAATTTGGAGAATTGAATCTACATATTAAAACTGCCCTGATTTTACAGATTACGTGAAACGAAGGATGAACTAGACTACAAGCTTAGATCGACCAGTAGTGAGAAAATGATGATGGAAGCTGAATTAAGGGAGTTAAAACGAAAGTAAGAGTTTTATGTATTTGTGTTTCAGATCACCTTGTTATAATATTTCTCTATATTAAATTGTTTACAGAATAAAACGAACTAAAGCCATTTTAAATAGAAATTTACGAGCTTCAACAACTGATTACTTACTTACAGATATGAGATTTGATCACTGGGATAGAAAGTAAGATTATAGTCAGATAGTTAGGTTTATAACATTACCAGGATTATAACGTTACCATAGTAACAGGTTTATAACATTACCATAGTGACAGGTTTATAACATTGCCATAGTAACAGGTTTATAACATTACTATAGTAACAGGTTTATAATATTACCATAGTAACAGGATTAGAATTATAACATTAGCATAGCAACAGCATTATGACATTACTATAGTAACAGGATTAAGACATTACTATAGTAACAGGATTAAGACATTACTATAGTAACAGGATTAAGACATTACTATAGTAACAGGATTAAGACATTTCTACAGTAACTGGTTTATAGTATTACCATAGCAACAGGATTACAGTCAAATAGTTAGGTTTATAGTTAACCAGATATTTTTCAATAATAAAACATCAGTAAAAAATTTATCATTAGCTTCTAAAAGCACAATTCAACTAACTAAACCTTTCAGTATTAGTAGTAAAATTGATTAAACCTTTCTGTATTAGTAGTAAAATTGACTAAACCTTTCAGTATTAGTAGTAAAATTGACTAAACCTTTCAGTATTAGTAGTAAAATTGACTAAACCTTTCAGTATTAGTAGTAAAATTGACTAAACCTTTCTGTATTAGTAGTAAAATTGACGAAACCTTTCTGTATTAGTAGTAAAATTGACTAAACCTTTCTGTAGTAAAATTCAAATATATTAAGAACTAAATAATTTTAATTTCAAGAGGATTTTTTTTTATAACATAACATTTTATCATTAGCTTTTCAAAGTACATTTTCTCTTTTTTTTTTTTTATAAAAATAATAATATAGTTTATTAGATAAATTTACTATAGAAGCAACGTAAACATCACTGTAAAACTGTTATTTTAGATTCTTTGTATGAATTCTAAATAATGGTGAACTATGGAACCTAGAACTTTCTCTGTATGGATCGTAGAATATTGTATTATAATGTCCATGGATGGATGGACAGGTTACGGTTACACCTGCAATATTTGGAATTAATGTTAACAGTCTAATTGAAAGTTGTGATTGGTTGTTTTATTGAGACCTGGTTATCGATAGACTACTATAACCAGACATTTAACAGATAAACCATGATATGTAACAGACCTTCAGATCTAAAGTGCATGTCTTAGACCATTAGCATTAGCCCCCCCCCCCCCCCCGACCATTAGTTCCCACCCCGCCACCCCCCATCAATTGTAACAAGACTAAAGTATTTAATAGCCCTAGTTATCTGAAGATGTAGTATAAAAAAAAGGTTTATTTTTTTTTTATTGTTTCTCTTTTTATTTATCTATTCTTGTCGACTTCTATCCTCCATCTTCCTTATTTGTCAGTCGTTCTATATTATTTATAACTTCTGTAGGTGTCATCCATAGCTTTGTATTTTAATGCAGCTCAAAAAATCTTGTCCAGGGACCAAATGGTAACATCTGTAAGGGCCATCCGTAGCTTTGTATTTTAATGATTAAAACATTGCAGCTCACCAAATCTTGTCGAGGGACCAAATGATAACATTATTGGCGAGTGATCGAGACAAATTTAGAACAAACATATATAAATTAAACTTTTTTTCTTCCAACAAATATTGAGTTCTAAGGCGTAAATATTTTGAAAACAAAACTGGGGAACAATTCTTAGCAAGAATAATTTATAAAAATGGAATCTGGAATTTGTGGAATTATTATTTTTCTCAGACTTGGTGATTGTGAAGGAGAACTGAAAACTTTAAGAATGAAGGCGGGTATTTTAAACGAGTATCACAACGAAATTAGTCGCCTTAGAGAAGATATTTCATTACTCACATCCAGAAAAAAATTCCTAGCAGGTCAAATAGATGCTAAAGTTTCTCTCAAAAATACTGATAGGTAAGAAATTCTTACCTTTTCATCTTTAGATTCAAAATAATAATGTTCAAATTTTATAGAGAATGAAATAATATTTTTGGACAATAAGATAATTTTTGTAAGTTAAGTAAAACAAAAAATATAAATCTAAAATCAATTTGACCAGTTTTAATTTTTGAAAGACGTTTGTCTGGTGATTTAAAAGTTTTGCCCTTCCGTATTATAGAAGTTTGAACCACGAAATGAATTTTATTCATATTTTTAGTTGTAAAAGTTATTCAGAATTTTAAACTGTAGTGAGATAGTTTTTGATCTGTAATTATCAAATGATAGGCCTATAACATCTACTGTATCTTGTGGAATGAATTTAAGGTGATATAACCATATCTTTAGACAATATTCCAATCACTTTCAGCGTATAAATTTTACTTGTGGATATTGGTTAAGTATAAATACGTATTTGGTACCAATTATAACAAGCCTGCCTTTCAACACTTGTACGTCATTATAACACTTCTATTATCATACACTACAGCGTCGCTTTAACACTTACCTACACCCGCATTATAGCTATATACCTGATGGTTGTCGTTCACTGACTACAACCATGTTATTGTTAGATCCTTGTATATAAATAAGGGTGGAACTATATGTTTAGATGTTAGTCTTTATTTCGTTAACTTCTGCTTCCCCAAAAGTGATATCGCAGACACATTAGTCTTATACGAGAGAGAGAGAGAAATGGGGTTTAACGTCCACTCGACACAAACTAGGTCATTTCGGGAGAGAGAGAAATGGGGTTTAATGTCAACTCGACACAAACTAGCTGATTTCAGAACTAAGGTCTTATATGGAAACTTGCCTTATAGTAGTAATTCGTGTTATAGTGGCAACCTACTGTAGAAACCCTTACCTCTACTATCTTTAATTTCTTTCTTTATTTCACTTTTATTCACTTTTGACTTTATTTTCACAATTCTGTATTTAAGATAGACCTAAAAATTTAAATATCGGTAGTTAGTCTTCCTCCGCCCCCCCCCCCACTCTCCCCCCCAATACCTCTTTCTTATTCTAACCCCCTCTTTATTTAAGATATTAAAAACCATCATTGTTTATTTGCTTTCAATGATGACAAATGTATTATACAAAATAAGAATACAGGCAAAACAGAAAAATTGAAATAAATAATTGATTAATTTTAAAATTGTATACATGGTTGATAAGTTGATAAAAATATCATAAGATGTTGTATTTTTAGATTTATTACAAAATTCAATACAGATACAATAAAATATGAAATGTTGATTATAAATTATAACGTTATAAAATCATCATTAGAGATGGCGACAGACGTGGATGTTAAAGTTGTTGATTCTGATGAAAGAAGAAATAAAACGTGACATCTGGTTTATGTCTAATTATTTGTGTATTTTTCAGACTCGCAGATGCAGAAGAAGAAGTAATTAGATTACGAGCTAAGGCAGGATTAGTTGATGATTACGAACGTAAAATAAGGAATTTACGCGATGAAATCACCTATACTCCTGTAAAACGAACAACTTTCGCTGATAAGTAAGTTTTATGGTTTGAAGAGTTACGTGAAACACTGCATGCTCATAGCTTTAACATAAGTTTTGTAATTTGAATTCTTCTACCGTAGTCTTATAGTCTGTATTGGTTTCAGGACCCCACAATGGCTTATTGTTGCAAGGGGGTGGGGGTGTTAAAGGACACGCTCCATGAAGATGGACCGGTCCAAAATCAGAGGATTTGGTAAAACCCATGAGGTCAGGCAGGCAACTCTATTCCCCGTTACGTACCAGACACGTGTTAGACCACTCGACCACCCAACTTTCTGGGACACATTTGAGATTGGTGTTTATAAAAGTTGTTTTATTTTCAGGGATATAACTGATTCCGTTTCCTTGTATCGATATGTTCCGAAGGTCAACTCACCCCTGGCTCTCGATGACCCCGTTCAGAGAGTACGATCACAGAACCTTATTTCAAGATTTAACGACATGTTCGCTCAAGATCGTCTCAACGCCATGGATACCTTGAGACGCTACTCAGACGACAACGAAAACACACAAAGAATTATTTTCACTGCCTTACAGGTAAATTCACTGCCTTACAGGTAAAATTTAAACCCCAACATTGGAATAATAATGGTAGAATGAAGCCATAACATAAATAAAAAGTTAAGATCTGTAGTGGTATCAAATACTAACAGGGTTATTGTAATTCTGTATGTCATGTGATTATATGAGCCGAGCTGTAATGGTGCGAGAATAAAGACAGTCAACAAGATTATGCCTATACTTTGTTATACCCATCCTCTTATTCAAGACCAATCGATCATGTAACAAGATCAAACATACGTCTTCCTGAACACTTTTTTGGGCCATTTAAAGTTTACATTGATTTCTACTGATTTCATACTGTCTTCATGTAGGCTATCTTAGACCAGTAAAATAGTAATATGTGCTTATATATCTTTTGAATATGAACCAATCCATCCTTTATTACAGTTGATCACATAATATCAAAGGTCTATAGGCCATCCTTCATTACAGTTGATCACATAATATCAACAGTCTTTAGACCACACTAATTGGATTGTGAGTTCATGATATTGATAAATAAATAGCCATGTGGAACTAAAAGCCTTTGAACAGTACAGTCAAGTACTTTTGGTTTTTAAATAAGTCCTTTTCCCCCAAAGAAATAAGAAGGACGATCTTTACAAGTGCTCATGATGAAGAGAGAATCAAATAGTACATATTTTACAGTTTACACATAAGTTTTGAAATGAAATGAAATGAAATGGGGTTTAACGTCCTACTGTTTTGCTCGAACTGGACTAATGAGGACGGGATACACCATACAGTGTGCTGTGAGGGAAATTTTGCCCGGACAGCGGCACTACAGCCTACTCTTATATCGAATTCCTACTGTCAAGGGATCTTTTACGTGCACGCCAATGTGTACACGGGACCTCGGTTTTTCGTCTCATCCAAATGACTAGACAGCTGTCCTGGTCAGGCCCTCCGTCCAGCATCACTGACAAGGGGGAACCACAGCGGAAAATCTGGATGAACTTTCTCGGATCGGCCTTTGCAGGGATCAAACACCCGACCTCAAGGTTAGCAAGCCAACGTATTACCCACTTAGCCACGTGATCCACCAGAAGTTTTGATGGGATATATGTATACAATCTGTACCAAGATTATTGTGTGAATACAATATCATTTTTTTAGTAAATTATAATTTTGTTTTATTCATTTTGTAGGAAGCATTCAGTACTGCCAAGCAAGCTTTCCGTCAATTTAAGATGAAAGTTCGTTCTAATCTCCTTAAGACCCATTTTGGTCCCGAGACCCTTGAAGAAGCTGTTCAAGACTACATCAATCGTAATACAGACCTTTACGATCTTCCAGGCCTTGTTGCTGTAAGTAGTATTGAAGTAATTTATACATGGTTAGATATCTACCAGTAAATGAAATGAGGTTAATGAAGATGGGCATACACCATACAGTGGGCTATGAGGCAAACTTTGCTCAAACAGTAGTGCAGCACTGCTACCATATCTTATATTGAATTCCAACTGTCAAGGGATCTTTTACATGCACAACAATGTGTACACAGAACCTCGGTTTTACGTCCCATCTGAAGGACTGGACATTTTCCTGAGTTTCACTATTTTACTGACAGTGTTAGATTGGAAATTAGATGAAATGATTGTGTGTTTAATGGCATGTAAGCACCAACCGGGCTATATAGCGAAAGAGTCTTAGATTGTAACTCTTTATAATATTTTTTGGCTCTTTTTTAACAGGATGTTATTCGAGCTTTAAACAGAAATCCGAAAATATACCTGAGTCCCGATAATACCTTCGCTATTATCCAGCCCTTCATCCGAGAATCTGTGAAACTAGCATGGCAGATGTCAGCCCTAGCTCATCCATTGGATATCGCCATAGCAACAGACGCAGAACTTTTCGATGATAACAAGTAAGTAGGGAATTTCACCTTTCTTAAACCCCATAAATTTGAAACAGATCGAAACCACACTTGACTCAGTTCACATAATAATTTGTGCCTACCGCTGTTTTGAAATTTTTAGAATTTAATAACTACAAGTTACATCATAAAGAATATTTAATAATGTTTCCTTATTATATATATAAGTTTTTTTCTTATTATGTTTGTTTCATCGTCGTCATTCTACTTTCAGATATCGTCGTAGTTATGATTCCGAGTATACTGCTCCTTTAGTCAATCACCATATATGGCCATGTCTACAACAAGGTATTCGTGTTCTAGTGAAAGGTGAAGCTCTCACACGTCGTGGTGCATCTTTAGTAAGTCCTAATTTCATCTAATCTTTCCTATCAGTAACAATGTAACATCGGACATTAATTAAATGAAATAGGCATTAAATGTCTAGTAAACACCAGTTTGGTTTTTCTGATCAGTAAAGTATATAACAGGGCTTGACAATCCCGAAGACAGACAGAGAAATGGGGTTTAACGTCCACTTGACACAAACTAGGACTGACATAATATGGTTTAATTTTATTTCAATAATTCGCTTGCGTGTAGGGATCTTTAGCAGTGGGAGGAAACCCGGAGGACCTGGAGAAAACCCATGAGGTTGGACAAGCAACCCTACTCCTTGTCACATACAAGTTGACTCAATGACAGACCTTATGATACAGCGCGCACATGCTAACCATTCGGCCATTCAACCCCCCAAAGAACACCAAGTTAAAATATAACTGAAAACTAACTTATAATTTCTTCTGTTTATCAGGGATCACCAAGAAGAAGTCGCAGCCCAGTTAGAAGTTTGAGTCCATCCTTGAGAACCCGATCCAGGAGCCGTTCCGTAAGTCCAATGAGACGAGCCCGTTCAATCAGCCCACGTCGTTCTCTAAGTCCGATGCGATACTCACGATATTAAACAACAAATAGACACAAGTTATTTTATTTATTTAAACTGTTTTACATCAATAGAGATAAAGAAATAGATGTTTTTAACATGTTTGGGGTGATAATACGAACTCGGAAGAAGGATAATTTCAATCTAGAAAGACCACACTTTATTTGAACTTCAGTTTTTCGGGAACATTTGTTACTTCTTGTTTCATGTGGTGAAAAAAAAAAAAAAATTACTTGTTGTCTTTTCTCATAATTCTACATCTTTTAAGTTTTGAAATTTTAAACAAAAAATTTAGTTCAAAAGAACTTGTGGGACTATTTATTTAGATTGGCCTAAAATCATCATAAAATAGTTTTTTTTTTTTTAAAAAAAGATTGAATAATTCCTAAGCTATTTAATTAATAAAAAACGTCTGTATTTTAATAGATATGAGTTTCTAGATAATTATATTAAAAGTGTGTTTAGTAGATGTTAGTAAAATGAGCATAAGAGAAGTATAGATCTATTGTTTATTTATTTTAATATTATTATATTATTGTAGTCTATATTAAGATATTTTAATATTATTATATCTATGTAGTCTATATTAAGATATTTTAATAGTATTATATCTATGTAGTCTATATTAAGATATTTTAATATTATATTAATGTAGCCTGCCTATCTATATTAAGATATTTTAAAGGTGATATTTAGGTAGATATCGTACTAAATGATTTTGTACTCATTTGAAAATTTATGGAAAATCACTTAAGGATATACAGAGTTTTAAAGTTAACAAAGGGTGTACATTGTAGATTTCATTCTGTGCCTTTATTAATGATTTCAGTAAGGTTGTCCAGTTATTTTATTTTATCATCATCAATATCTCAGGGTATACAATAACATCTGTATTTGTATCAATATGGCCACCTTCTACCCTATAGTTCTAGTATTGTCTCAGCTAAATCCCATAATAACAGCGTCTATTTTACAGAAAATATAATCAACAAATGTCTCAATACATATTGTCTCTGAATATTATTACAACTGCTGTATTCAGGCTCCGAGTACTTCACAAAACGTTTAATCAATATTGTTCACCTTATTTTTTTTATCATACTTTTGTTGTTTTAATGTATCACATACATCAACTATAAACTATGTGCATAGATAGGTCAATGGTATTTCTCATAAACAGTGATTGAAAGTTAAGGAAATTCTTAATTTAATTCTGAGAATGTTTTCTGATCATTTAACCAGTATATCTCCCTGTTAAACTTATATTTAGAAGGAGAAGACAACTCTGATTTATGTTGATATATACAACAGTGAACTCTGTAATTGAGAAGTGGTTAAGGCATCATTACCTCTAGCCAGTTGGAGCGATAGTTTCATCTTCGATACCATTTTTGGGTCCATCGATTAGATTAGATTAGATTAAATTAGTGTTTTAAGAATAAAATGAACTTCTCCTTACTCTTAAAATTAAAATAAATCTACAGAACTTGTTCCATTATTTGTTTCAAATTAACATCTTTATTTGGACCCAAAAATCAAAGAAGTTCTGACACTTCATTTATTATTATTTATTTTAATAAAAAGTATTATTTTAATAAAAGGTATTATTTTATTCATATTATATAAACAATATAGAAAGCATATAAATAGCTTATTATTATTCTACATATCAAATTACCGTCCTTTATATTTTGTTGTTTTTAAAACCCCCGTCCTCAGGTGCAGATTCAAGCCGTTTGGTGACTTAGTTGATTGCCTGTTAGTCTGCCCAATGTGGGACGGGCTTTGCACTCCCAAGTGGGGGCAGCACGCCACCCCCCTTTCTGAAAATCCTGGATCTGCCCCTGGTCCTATATATATTGTTGTTCATGCAACTCCCTGTCTATATATTTTGTTTTATCCTATATATTTTTATTTATTTATAAATATTTATTTTGACGTCCATTACGTGAGCGAACCGAGCAACTACTGTGATATTTTAGTTGAAGTTATTTATTTAGTTAACTGATATATTATTTAGCTTTAGTTTGGATTTTGAATTATCTTATTATTAGATGAATTTTTTTCACTGGGTGTAGTGGAATGTGGTTCTCCCAGAAATAAATGTCACCCCATTTTCATATTCATGATACTTAGGCTACAATTAGATTTTTGTTTCGATAATAGCGCAGTAATTTGTTAGCTAATAGTTTCGCACATTAATTCAGTTTTAAAGTTTACAAGTTAATAGTTTCATGCAATCACAACTTAGATGTGTGCATTTCGTTTCTCAAGATAACACCCGATTTTAGAAATGGGAGAACAACCCCCTGGGGTAACATGCTTGTTTTCTCAAATATTAGAAATAAGAATTCAATAATTTAATGATGTAAATTTTTTATTTAGTGTGAAATGTAGTAAAATATTTGGTACTGTCGAAGTGATATGTACCCAAAATTAAATTATTTAGAATATTATTTGAAGTGTGGAGATCTAAGAGTATTATATTATTGTGTATTTGGGGTGGTGGTGCTTCAAGTTAAAGTGTTAACATTGAGAGCTATCGAACAGTGAATCTTAATTCTGGGGAATTTATGGAACAATGAACCAAATGATTCATAATTAATTTAAAAACTGATTGTTATTGATTAATGTGGGAAATCACTCTTTCGACACTGTAAATGACGGTAAATTAGGATTAAAACTGATCGATTTTGAAGAATTTGGATTAATGGTGTTAAAGATTGTTGAATACTATATATAGATAGTTGAGAGATACCAATATTGTATTTATATAAATATTCTAGTTATTTTAGTATATATTTATATATTTTATTATTGTCAATATACGTGCATTCCGTCCTTTTTAATCAGTGTTTTTAACCTTATCAAATAATCAAAATAAAGTTTGTATATGAAAATAATTTTATTTATTTATTATGAAAATAAAAGACAATGTTTACAAGTGGTCAAGTATAAACCCCTGCTGTCCTGTTCTTATGCTTGACTTCACCAACCCCTGCTGTCCTGTTCTTATGCTTGACTTCACCAACCCCTGCTGTCCTGTTCTTATGCTTTACTCCCCCAACCCCTGCTGTCCTGTTCTTATGCTTGACTCCACCAACCCCTGCCCCCCCCCCCCCCCAAACCCTGCTGTTGTGCATTTCGATAACTAGTTTCTCCATAAAAACATAAGAAAAGAACTACATCTAGCATAGAACAAGTACAGATCAATCATCCTGTTCTGATGTAGGTATTGTACAGTGACCAAGCCCAGAGTGATATATTGAAAGGGAGGTAACCTTGCTATAAACACACAACCTTGGTATTTAGATTATTTAAACAGTTTGAGGTGACCAAGGATTGTTTCTGATTGTGCGGAGATATTCCACTATAAAACATATCACCTTTCACTCCTTTTAAAAAGAAATGAGCTAAGTCGAGGATGATGACAGGTGTTAAACACTAAAATGCGTTTAAGAAAGCCTCAGGACAGTGTCCAAAATATTATACACCTTGGCCGGAGCCCCCCTAGATCTTGAGAGTTCCCCTTGATCTTGGAGTTCCCCTTGAACTTGAGATTTCCCTTGGATCTTGAGAGTTCCCCTAGATCTTGAGGATTCCCCCAGATCTTGAGAGTTCCCCTAGCTCTTGAGAATTTCCCTACATCTTGAGGACTCCCTAGGCTTCAGTCTGCCAAGCCTGTAGAGAAATCCATCACGACCATCACCCCAAGCGATACCCTATTCCCACAGAAACATACAACGACATGAATATGAAACAGGAAGGTAGTGTTACTTTATAATTATTTATTCTATTTACATATTTCTATCAGGTAACCATAGTTACTCTAATCCTAGAGTCCAGTTTATACCTTGAACTATTAAAATAATAACAGGTTGCCAGGCAACTAAATAACGTATCCAATCTAATAGATTACCATACATAACATGAGGTCGATCCCATCTGTTTATATCGTCAAGGAAACTAAAGTTTAATATCCAATAAAAACAATGACAAATCTACAAATGATCTACAATCTTGTAAAATTTTCAAATCCTAATAATTTTAAAGATTTCAACCAATGAATAAGAGAGATATATATAGCGCGACTACAGAGGTCATTTTGGGACTAACATGGAGTCTGTCTTATTTCAATAATAATATTACATGTGTGTGTGGGGGGGGGGGGGTCTTTAGGAGAGGAGGATCTCAGAGAAAACCCACGGAGGTTAGGTAGGTGTATTTACTCCTTGTCATAGAGTAAACCCACGGAGGTTAGGTAGGTGTATCTACTCCTTGTCATGTGTTGGCCGAGAAAGGTCATCAGGATTTTCCAGTGTGGTTTCTACTGTCTAGTTGTTCAGATGGGACGACAAACACATTGGATTGCACGTAAAAGATCTCTTGGCAGATGGAATTCGATATAAGAGTAGGCAGTTGCGCTGCTGTCCAGGCATAATTTCACTCATAGCACACTGTTCGGTGAATGCCCATCTTCATTAGCCCAGTTGCAGCAGAACAGCAGGACGTTAAACCTCATTTCATTTGTGAAAACATGTGACACAACTCAATGACTAACGTTATGATCTACAGTATCCACGTCCCAGTACTCTGTTACGTAACTCCCTTCGACCAAATAACTACCATATAACAGATGTATGAAAGTATTCCTTCTCAAGACCAACAATGGTGTAAATTGAGATTTAACCCAATCAGATACACCCACATTTTACAAGAGATGGACAGAGAACAAGCTCAAAAAAAGAATGCGATTTTTATTACAATCAGGGGCCATAATCTAGGAAGTTGATGTCCGATATGCACGAATATCGAAAGGAACCAATATCTTTGGGATATATATATATAAACATATATTTTAAGTTTTATCAAAATCAGATCAAAATTGTGACATCTAGAGGGCCCACAACAATTAACACTATTTGCGTACAAGGAGCGATAATTTTGTCCAGCAGTTTCGGTCTGATTTTTCTGAAAATGACTAAATACCACTGCCTTGGCATTATACAAAGTGTATTTGTTGGATTAATAGAATTCAATTCTTGAACGATAACTCATTTTTTTTAAACAGGGTTTAATTTAACGTCCTAATGTACTGTTCCGACTGGGCTAATGAAGACAGCGTAAATACATCATACAGTGTGCTATGAACAGCAGTGGCGAAACTGCCTACTCTTACTTCAACTTTCAACTGTCCAGGGACCTTAAATGTTCTGCTCATGTTTTGATCCCATCCAAATAGCTAGACACATTTAATTAAAAGGTCTTACAACCATCCTATGGTGGTAACCGGGCCTTACAACAATCTTATGGGGACAACCAAGCTTGAATGGCCGTACAACCATCCCATGGTAGTAACAGGGCTATGAAATTCTGGAGAGATGTTTCCGCGAATACTGGAATGAAAAGTAGAAAATCTTTAATTGTAAGCCAGCACCATATTCATCAAAACATTGTTGCTCCTATTGAAGCGAGAATCTACCCTGTAAATTAAAACATAAAAACAATTTGTCATATTTATTTATAAAGGATACGGACTGGGAAACATTCTCTTCAGATCAACCTTTTCTTTACAATACGGACAAGTTTCTTTTTTACCCACAATACACCAACCACGGATACAAAACTCATGAAATCTGAAAATATCTCGTTAAGGACAAAATTATATTATCATTATTCCCATTATCATTGATGAGTAAGAATAACCTCCACTCAACATCAATTAGGCCATTCTATATCCCTCCCTGATCTAGGTGGCTACCAGCCATTCTATATCCCTCCCTGATCTAGGTAGCTACCAGCCGTTCTATTTCCCTCCCAGATCTAGATAGCTACCATTCTATTTCCTCCCTGATCTAGATAGCTACCAGCCATTATATTCTCCCTCCCCCCCACGGGACCTACGATCTAAGTACCTGTAGCTACCGGCCATTATATTCATCCCTCCCCCAACCCTGATCTAGATAGCTACCAGCCATTCATGTTGTTTCCCTCCCATTATTTGTTTTATAAAAGGATACAAATGATCACATGATAATTTACATGTTTTTTCTATAATGGCATCTTCATTGTTGATAACTAGAATCTGATTACCACATACAGCACATACATTAGGATCTAATCTTTTACCTGGTAAACCAGTTGTAGTATAATACTAAAAATATACAAATATAACAATATTTATTGAATTATTCCACTTTAAATAGTGTACTCATTATTATTGGGGACACTAAGGGTGTATTCGAAACAGTGTTCGTGAACCATGGAAGAACGCGAGAACACGCGCACGAGTGTCGAACATGAGAGAACGGTATCCATGGTAACAAGTTGAATTAAATTTATACAATCTATTACTATAACTTGAGAAGTATTGTATTACGCATAAATGACTTCGTTTTACCTGGTGTTATGCTGGCAACATACTACATGCAGTTTTCGACGGTATTAAACTTTTAAATCAATAAATGCACCCATGATACTGTTTTCTCGGCAGTTGTCGACGCATCGACTATGTTTGTTCTCGCCTCGTACCAGCTAACGAGGTAGTGTGGGATTTGAGAACGCGAACGTGTTCGCGAACGCATACCCGACTGTTCGAGACCGACAAGAACCCAATCTCCATCCGTTCTCTGCACCAGAACACTGTTTCGAATACCGTATTTTTCGGTGTATAAGGCGCATGCGTAGATAAGGCGCAGGGCGACTTTGGCAGAGGTGTTTCAGGAAAAAAAAAAATATGCGTGGCTTAGGCGCACCCTTTCCCAGCGCGTGTGAAACTCGTGCCATAACATATGTGACTCAAATCCACCTGCGATCTCCAGTAAATAGGTCAAACTCTATTGTTTACAGTTATAATAATTACCAATATTTAGCCGTATCAAGCTTTATATAATTATATTTCTTTATGAAATAAATTGCTTTTGTTACATTTGTTTATATTAATTATAACACGCAATTGCATTATTGCATAACTTTCAGCTGTAATTCTGTTGCTCGTACGGTAGTGAAATTGTCATTCAAGTCCCGCCCACAACAAACATGGCCGTCTATTACATCGTGTTAAATTCGTGAGTAATTGTCTGTGATAAATGAATCGGTTTTGATGATAAACAAATTAAATAATACCTGTAGAAATAATATATCATGATCAGCTACTCACAACTTAAATCCTGACTACCGGTAAAAGAGAAACAACAATTCCAGTTTACTCCAAGTTATGCAAACAACTGACAAACGATAGCGTCTGTTGCCCCGCCCACACCACGCGTCATGACAATACCCAGATTGTAGCCATTTAGATCTATCAGTAAAATAATACAATAGCATTTTTAATACCAATCAAAAAAACAATGATTTTGTCAACTACAAACAACTTCATAAAGAAAACGGTAACAACTCACTGGTAGATAATTAACTATACCGGTAAAATAATACAATAGCATTTTTAATACCAATCAAAGAAACAATGATTTTGTCAACTACAAACGACTTCATAAAGAAAACGATAACAACTCACTGGTAGATAATTAACTATACCGGTAAATTATAACAATGGGCCAATCACTGAATCCATGTTGAATGAAAACCGTCGGTAACTTAAAACGGTTACTAAAAGACAGTCTTGCTCAAAGAAAACACCCCGATGTATATAAAACACCAGTGAACATTCCATCATTCTTAAAAATTATTTATTCAGAATGGCTACGAGACGAACCGCTTATACTGCTAAGGAGAAGTTGAGGGTAATTAGTTACGCTGAAGCACACGGTAATAGGGCCGCGGGTCGTGAATTTAGTTTGGGGGAGTCAAACGTGAGACGTTGGAGGGCGATGAAAGGGAAACTTACCGACATGAAACCTAGTAAAGAAGCGAATAGGTGGAGCGCCGCACATTATCCTCAAATTGAGAGAGAATTGGTATTCTGTCAGTTTAACTGTAATCCCGCCCATTAACGCTGTCATTGTAACAGATAATACCCATAGCCTATGGTATAATGAGCGTGTGCTCAATGGAAATTACCCTTCTAATAGCCAATGAAAACTTTTTGTCTGTCGTAAGCCCCGCCTTTTCGTCAACTTGACTGATATCACCGTTGACGACACACTGTTTGGATTGCCGACAGTGGCTAACTGTACCGGTAAACGGATTAGCAGAAATATATGTCATCAAATACGCAGGAATAATAGAAATATTAACGATAATTTTGCAGATATTGTTAGCACTGTCGTTTATGACTAACGGTATACGGAAAAGCCGGAATAATAGAAATATGACTAACGGTATACGGAAAAGCAGATACCGTATCTTAAATGGCCGCCATATTTATTGCACGAAAAATGACGACATCGGAATGTCGGAATAGCAGAAAAATATGTCATCTAATTATTTACGATATCTTTGCAGATATTTTAATAACACTAAACCGCTATTGACCCATATTGTTGCCACTGTCGTCTATGACTAACGGTATACGGGATATCGGTATGGGAAATGGCCGCCATCTTTATTGCTGTTGTCGATATGATCAACTTCAGACCTCGATGTTGACACACAGAAAAGCCAAGATTTGCTTAATACTATGTATTAGGCGCACCCCTTCTAGAAAATAAAATACCTGGTAAAAAAAGTGCGCCTTATACACCGAAAAATACGGTACACCCTAAGTATGGTTGCCTATGACCAAACTTTTTTTTTTGAGCCACCCGATATTGTTGCCTATAAGCACCATCTGATTACAATACACATCCATATTTTGTTTCGTTTTTTTATAATTTCGATGGCCTACATAACAAGATCTGACCAGTTGTACTGGAAGTTCACGTCAGGGATCGTATGAGCAGTTTTTGACCCTATGACGTCAGACATTGATTAATCAATCAGCGTTGACGTTTCGAGTGGTTTACTCACAGTTCCGTGTATCGCATGACAAGAAGTCGCCGTAACAGATGGTTTCATTGGTTAAACCTTCACACCATCCAGAACGCCTGTTATATAACAACTCTTCCAGATCCTAGTGTAGTACAGACAAATAAAACAAAATTTTGAACTGTAAAAAAAAGGAACGAAAGAGGATCTGTGTTTTAATCCGATTTCTACGAGCAAACATTTTGCTATGAAGTTGGATGCTGATGAAGATTTATATACTTACACCTATATGAGCTGCCATAGAATCAGCACAAACTTCCGCAAAATCTCTTGACACAACGCCGAAATATAAACCATAAAATAATATAAGTAGGCCCATATCCATGGCTGTTTGTGGTTTGATTAAAAATAATAAGTTGAGGCCGAAAATGGTGAACATGATGATGATATAACCAATAATACCTGCTGCATAACTAAGTTTATATATTAATAAAAACCATTTATACACCAACCTGAAAATATACATACATACCAGTATACTACAGTTCTAGTTAAATGAAATGAAATGGGGTTTAACGTCCTACTTTTCTGCCCCGAACAGGGCTAATGAAGACCGGCATATGCCTTACAGTGTGTTAGGAGGGAAATTTTGCCCGTATAGCGGCACTAAGGCCTACTCTTGTTTCAAATTCCAACTGGCAAGGGATCTTTTACGTGCGGCTTTTGACCCTATGTTGTCAAAAATTGATTAATCAATCAGTGTTGACATTTCTAGTGGTTTACCAGTGCATCAAAAGGTCAAGAACTTGCCATAACAAAACGTTTCATTGGCTAATCCCTCACATCATCCAGAACACGTCAATGATAACAACTGTTCCAGATCCTAGTGTAGTAAAGACAAGTAAAACAAAATTTCGAACTATAAAAACAAATCGAAATAAGATCTGTGTTTTAATCAAATTGCTTTACCACGATACTGGTTATGACAAACAGTTTCAACGTTCTACTCTTTGAGCACCAACATGGTTAATGGCGACAATTTCATATTTTCTAAGAAAGTCAAAACATAATTATTTCTGTCATTTGCTCAATAGGTTATCAACCCACTATTATACGATCATAGGTGTCATTCTCACACTTAAAACTCATTTACATTGGAAATAATAACACAATTACCTCCCTTGTTTTCTATTCTCCACCATGGAGTAGCTATCTTCAAACGTTTGAATTTGAAAATGATATTTTTGCCAATTTCTCAACTGGCAATAGTGAATTATAGGATTAATAGGATTATTCTTTAACAAGTTGACCGTTTAATTTTGATAATGAATGTCCGATTTACATGTGTTTAATTTCCTGAACATGGTTGAAAAATTAATCATTTTATATGGATTATCAAATTTAAACTGGACACAAGTACCAATAAGATGATTTTTGGTGATTTTAGTTTATTTTTACAAATTTTTAAACAAAGATTTGATATTGAATGTAATTTGAAAGAAATTGATGCTAAATACACAAGATTAAAGGATACCTGGGTTACAGTGTAACATACCCATATCTAAAATTAAAACTTTCTCAAATATAATATTTAACTAACCTTGGTGTTGTTCCGACTAATGGCTTCTGTGTCGCCCGGAATGTAATATAACCAGTGGCAACAGAAAATATTGACCAGATCACTAAAAATCTGATCCACACAAATTTGATACAAAATGCTACCGGTATTAACCACATTCCTAATAATGTCGCTCTCTGAAAAAAACACAAAATGTGCTGGAACTATTTTGTTGTGGTATTAAGTAAATCATAACATTAGAATTATCTCCCTTTGTTTAACCTCGGCAAGCATGGCCGCTACTTCAGCGGAAACTTATTTTGTTTATCCTGTGCAATTTACAGTCTTTTTACCCTTGAACATGTACGTTGGTTTGTTTGACAGTCATACTCGTCACTCAGCTAGCTTTCACAGAGAGTTTTCATTGGAATAAAGGTCATTCAAACGGATATTCGTCTATCTTACTAGGGTGAAGAGAACTCGGGGTTAGCTCACTGTAATTCCTCCCTCGTCCCGAGCGCAGTGGAAAGGCAGTTTAGTAAAAAGACTAGTTTGCACATGTAAACACGGACATCATAGCTTCAATCACAAGCTATAGGAACAAAATATCAACGTGAGACAACCTCTCATTGTCTGATATAGGTGCTTGGTACACTTGTAAAACAAGTCACGCCAAAAATTTCTGGAAAACTACGGTGGCCCGGTTCAGCCATTTGTAAAAAACAACGATTGCAGTTTTTATTACAAAACATTCTAGGAACTTTTTCGTTTGTTCTATTGACAATAACGGCACGGTTTAACATATATAACATTAAATTTATTTGTATGGAACACTATTCCTGCCAAAATAAATAATAAAAGGCATAAATGACAATAAAAGGATTCTTGAATATTTACATTCTTTTAACATTACTTACTACATATTCATTGAATAACGGTGAATATTATCACGGCAAGGTAAAACTATATTTGTATGGACAGCACTTACCGCAAAATATTAATTTTCCACATACAAATATGGCATCGGATAATGGACGTGACAACGACTTACAAGGCCCCTCTAGGTCGATGATTACAGTGTCGCGAGCGGCTGGAACAAGCAGATCGGACTCCAGCTCTATGATATTAGAAAAACAGACCAAAGCAGAGACAGCTCGTGCTAAGGCCCAATTTGCGGAACAACGAAAAACTGTTCGTCTAAAGCATGCTAATGCAGAATTGGATGCCGAATTAGAATTTATTCAACAGCAAACTGACGTCGCTATCGCTGAGGCTGAAGTTCGTGTTTTTCAATCACACAAAGGCTCAAGTTTTAGATCATGCGAATCAGAATTACGAAGTTTACCAAGGGAAAATACAATGGAACGCACACAACAATTTGTCGATCAGAATCAAGATACACTATTTGAAAACAACCTAACCGATTATCAAAATCAACAATATGACCCTTACGATAATTATAATGAACAACATTATGATTATCAATCCCAGTGGTACCCGTCTAATCATCAGTATGATTATTACCACAGACCATATTATCCTGAAGTTGATAGCCCTCAAACACGGGTATTGGAACCTGCTGCTCAGCACACACAACTTCCCAGGCAGGCGCCTCCTCTATTACAGGAACGAAATAGGACTCAGGTACAACGTGGACCACCCACCAATGCACCATCTATAAAAACTGACGCAACTGCATTTTCACAACCTAGTTCACTTCCACACGCAACTTTAAATAGTAACACCACCATAACAGGTGAACTTTCAAGGTTTTTACTTAAGAAAGACTTACTCCTTTCAAGGTTTACAAAGTTTAATGATCAACCAGAATCCTACGCAGTATGGAAGTCAGGTTTCTTACATATTAAGTCGGAACTCCAAGTCACAACCTCAGAAGAAATGGATTTGCTGATCAAGTGGTTAGGATTGGAATCGTCTAGAAATGCTATTAGTCTTAAGGCAGCTAATGTCAGCAACCCAGCTCGCGGATTAGCACGGATATGGGAACGCCTTGATGAAAGGTATGGAAGCCCAGAACTGGTGGAAGCATCACTCAAGAACAAACTTGCTAACTTTCCGAAGTTATACACTGATAAAGACAATAAGAAACTCTTCGAGTTGTCCGATATTATTTCTGAAATCGAATCGGCCAAGGAAGACCCGATGTATGCTTCACTTTTGGCCTACTTTGACTCTTCATCTGGAGTTATCCCCATAGTAAACAAACTTCCCCGGGGAATTCAAGAGAAATGGACCGGCCAAGCTGTCAAATATAAGAAGACATATCAAGTACCATTTCCACCATTTTCCTTCTTTGCGGAATTTATACGAGATGTAAGCAAGACCAAGAATGATCCAAGTTTTGCCTACGACCGCACTTACAATCAACCAAATAATCAACGGGATAGGCTCCCTTCAAAGGTATCAGCTCCAGCTTTAAGGACGAATATTTCCACACGGAAAACAGAAGTTAAACAGCAATCTGAGGTCACGGATAATAGATCAAAATGTCCAATCCATCATACTAATCACTCGATTAACGAGTGTAATGCCTTTAGATATAAACCCATCAGTGAACGGAAGGCATATTTAAAGACTATTGGGTTTTGCTATAGGTGTTGCGCAACAAAAGAACATTTAATTGCAGCTTGTACAGAAAATATCAAATGCGATATTTGCAATAGCAACCAACATGCTTCTGCTATGCACGTGAATTCGGATTCAGTTACCAGTGGAACCTCTTCAGCTCCAGTCAACCACGGCGGGGAGCGTACGGAACCAAAACAACTTACATCAAAGTGTACACAAGTATGCAGCGATAAGTTTAGAGGCAAGTCTTGTGCGAAAATAATTCAACTAAAAGTCTACCAAACTGAAAATCCAGTTAAGACAGTTCAAGTTTATGGCATCTTCGATGATCAAAGTAATAGGTCACTCGGAAACAAAGGCATCTTCGACTCACTCGAAGTTCAGGCAGAACCATTCTCTTACACACTATCATCGTGTGCAGGCACGTTTCCTACGTCTGGCAGAAAGGCAACAGGAATAACTATTGAATCTTTGGATGGAAGCGCGAAATTTGAACTTCCGCAGTTAATTGAGTGCGACCACATACCGGCAATTAGAGATGAAATACCTTCTCCGGAAGTAGCTCTTCATCACTCTCACCTACAGGACATAGCTGAATTCATACCACCAGTGGATGATTTGGTTAATATACAGCTGTTAATTGGCAGAGATTTGATTGAGGCTCATCACGTCTTAGATCAACGGATAGGACCGCGTAATTCACCTTACGCTCAACAACTCCCATTAGGATGGGTAATTATTGGAGAGGCTTGCCTAGGCAACATACATAAACCGGAAGTAATCAATGTGAACAAAACTCACACTTTACCAAACGGTCGAAATACATTATTCGAGCCCTGTCCGAATAATTTGGAATTAAAGGATCTACATCCAACAAGGTACGATGTCTTCACATCACAGGATTCATTCAACGATGGAATTGGGGAAGCCGTATTTAGACTCTCCCGCAACGACGAAAAACTAGGACCATCGGTAGAAGATCGCGAATTTCTCGTTATCATGGATCGAGAATTCCAGCGTGATTCAAGTGGTAATTGGGTTGCTCCGTTACCCTTTAAGGAAAATAGACCCCGTCTACCAAATAATCGAACTCAGGCAGCCAACAGAGCCAAGTCGTTAGATTATAGTTTAAGAAAGGACTCAACTAAAAGAGCCCACTTCTTCACATTTATGAAAAGGGTATTCGATAACAATCATGCGGAATTGGCACCTCCTCTTAGAGACGATGATGAGTGTTGGTACTTACCCATTTTTGGAGTCTACCATCCTAAGAAGAAAGACCAAATCCGAGCAGTGTTCGATTCTTCAGCTCAGCATGAAAATATCTCCCTTAACAATGTAATGTTGACAGGTCCTGACCTCACCAACAGCTTACTTGGGGTACTTCTACGCTTTCGCAAACATGAAGTCGGCATCACAGCGGACATCCAGCAGATGTTTCATTGCTTTTTGGTACAGGAAAACCACAGAAACTTCCTGAGATTTCTTTGGTACAAAGATAACATATTCGAAAATGAAATTATCGAATACAGGATGAGAGTACACGTCTTCGGAAACAGTCCTTCTCCAGCAGTGGCTACGTATGGACTGAGACGGTCTGCACTCATAGGACAGGAAACATTTGGCATCGACGTCAAAAACTTCGTAGATAGGAACTTCTACGTCGATGATGGTTTGGCCTCACTTCCCACATCAGAACAGGCCATTGATCTTATGAAAAGAACTCAAAAAGCCCTTCTCGTTGGAGGCAATCTTCATCTTCATAAGATAGCTTCGAACAGCCCAGAAGTCATGGAAGCATTCGCTACCGAAGACCTGGCAAAGGACTTGAAAGAACTCAATTTCTCTACGGACTCGCTACCTATTCAAAGGAGTTTAGGCTTAGCTTGGAACTTAACGTCTGACACATTCACCTTTCAAGTATCACAGGAAATCAAACCTTTTACACGGAGAGGTATATTGTCTACCATAAACAGTCTGTTTGACCCGTTTGGATTTGTCGCTCCAGTCGTCATCCAAGGCAAAATTCTATTGCGGAATCTTATGTCGTCAACTACAGACTGGGATGAACCTCTGCCTACCAAACAACTCACGGAATGGGATAAATGGAGATGTTCATTACAGCATCTTGATAATCTACGTATACCTAGAATGTATTCTGATACTTCTTATGGCATTGCTCGTAAGGAACTGCATATCTATTCAGATGCTTCCGAAAAGGCCGTAGCAGCAGTAGCTTACATGAGAACTACATACACTGACGGAAATCATCATGTTGGCTTCATCCTTGGAAAGGCGAAGCTAGCACCAACTTCTGGTCATACTATCCCCAGGCTCGAACTCTGTGCTGCTGTCTTAGCAGTCGAAATCCACGACATTATCCAAGAACATCTTGATATTACTCCGGATGTCATCACGTTTCACACCGACAGCAAGGTTGTGTTAGGATATATCTACAACAGAACACGTAGGTTCTATCTCTATGTCACTAATAGAATAGACCGCATTAGGAAGTCAACCATTCCTCTACAATGGCAGTTTATCCCTACGGATAAAAATCCTGCAGATCTCGGAACCAGGTCCGTTCCGGCATCTGATCTGGAACATTCGGTATGGCTTAAAGGTCCTACTCACCTTTACCAGAAACAGCAATTCGAAGAAGATGACTTCTACGAACTACGGAATCCAGAAGAGGATTCTGAGGTACGACCAATTGTAACAACGTTACTCACTACTATCAACAAAGGCAAGCTGGGTATTCATCGGTTTGAGCGATTCTCATCATGGAAAACACTTACTTGGACAATCAGTAGATTAATTCACATTGCTCAAATGTACCACAGTTCAGGAAACTGTAAAGGATGGCATGTTTGTAATGAATCAAAAAATACTGAAGCCCAGCTTAATTCGGAACGGTTCATAATCAAACAAGTTCAACTCGAAACTTATGGAAAAGAACTGATCAAAATAAAAGCTGACAAACCGTTACCAAAGGACAGCACCATAATCACACTAGATCCAGTCATCGACGAATATGGCTTGCTGCGCGTTGGTGGAAGGCTGTCAAAAGCAGAGTTACCCTTTCAAGAGAAATCACCAATTATTTTACCGGCATCTGCTCACATATCAACTCTAATCATCAGGCATCATCACGAACTGGTACAACACCAAGGCAGACATTTCACCGAAGGAGCAGTTAGAGCGGCAGGTTTTTGGATAGTTGGAGGTAAACGTCTTATCTCCTCTATCATCTTCAAGTGTGTTAAATGTCGAAAACTACGAGGAAAACAAGAGTTCCAGAAGATGTCAGATCTACCTGGAAACCGCCTAAAGCCAGCACCACCCTTCACGTACGTTGGTGTTGACACGTTTGGTCCTTGGTCAGTTGTCTCAAGGCGTACTAGGGGTCACCAGGCAAACAGTAAACGATGGGCGATCATCTTCACCTGTCTTACCATGAGAGCTATTCATCTGGAAGTCATTGAAGACATGGGGACTTCAGGATTTATTAACGCTCTCAGAAGATTCATCGCAATTCGAGGCAACGTATCCGAGTTCAGATCCGACAGAGGAACCAACTTTATTGGTACAACTAATGAACTCAACATGGAAGTCATTATGGACGAAAACGGTCCTGTTATTAACTTTTTGAATAATAGGAAGGCTAAATGGATCTTTAATCCACCTCATTCATCACACATGGGAGGCGTTTGGGAACGTATGATCGGTATAACCAGACGCATCCTAGACTCTATGTTAGCTGAGGTATCTTCAAAATATCTCACACATGAAGTATTGGTAACTTTCATGGCAGAAGTTACAGCTATAGTCAACGCTCGACCTATAGTTCCGGTTTCAACAGACACACAGTCACCAGCCATTCTCTCACCACAAACTCTCCTCACTCAAAAGGTTGATCACATCACACAACCTTTAGGACAATTTAATATAAAGGACTTATATAAATCACAATGGAGAGCTGTTCAATCTATGGCTGATACATTCTGGAACAGATGGAGACGTGAATTCCTTCACACTCTACAACCTAGACGAAAATGGCAGAGTACACAACCAAACCTCAAACCAGGAGACGTTGTTCTACTTAAAGATAACCAACTTCATCGCAATGATTGGCCTATTGGTATGGTGGAACAGATTTTCCCTGGAGATGACAACAACGTCAGGAAAGTTACTCTACGGATCATAAAAGATGGTGAACCAACTGTTTATACCAGACCAGTTACTGAATTGGTATTACTTGATTCGGAAACGGACAATTAACATTTTGATAATTTAAAGTGACTCTTCCCAAAGATTGGACATTTTATTTTTAAGTGTTTTATTTCATAAAGTGTTTTAATTTTATTCATTTAAGTGATATCCAGTACAGGATATCAGACGGGGAGTGTGCTGGAACTATTTTGTTGTGGTATTAAGTAAATCATAACATTAGAATTATCTCCCTTTGTTTAACCTCGGCAAGCATGGCCGCTACTTCAGCGGAAACTTATTTTGTTTATCCTGTGCAATTTACAGTCTTTTTACCCTTGAACATGTACGTTGGTTTGTTTGACAGTCATACTCGTCACTCAGCTAGCTTTCACAGAGAGTTTTCATTGGAATAAAGGTCATTCAAACGGATATTCGTCTATCTTACTAGGGTGAAGAGAACTCGGGGTTAGCTCACTGTAATTCCTCCCTCGTCCCGAGCGCAGTGGAAAGGCAGTTTACAAAATATGTCCTTGATAATACAAGACAGGAGAGGAGAGAGAAAAGGGTTTGACTAGAGGTCATTCCTAATAATGTCGCTCTCTAAAAAAAAAAAAAATATGTCCTTGATAATACGAAAGAGGGGTTTAACTATTTCAGTCCTAATAATGTTGCTCTCTGAAAAAACACAAAATATATGATTGATAATATAATAAATTGAAGGAGGGTGTGAGGGAGGGAGGGTGTGAGGGAGGGAGAGGGAGAGAAATGGTGTTCAACATCTACTTGACACAAACTAAGTTATTTTGGGACATTTCAATGGTATTTCAATAATTTGCTTGCGCATAGGGATCTTTAGTTGTGGGAGGAAATCGGAGAACCTAGAGAAAACATATAAGGTTAATGAGGCAACCCTACTCCTTGTCACGTACAAGTTGGGCATCGAAACCAAGTCACTTGATTCAATGATAGCCCTTACAAGAGAAAGTGCAAGAGGTAAACCATTTGTCCCTTAGCCCTCTCCTCCTTTCCCTCCTGAAATACTAACAAGGGTGAATCACGCCGGAAAATCCTGATGCAAGGGTTGACAAATTAAAGCCAGGTTAGTGAGCTAATGTCCTACTAACTGAGTCACTGTGGCTCTGCAGGTTTAAGCCATTTCAGTAATATATACGTGTAGCCTTCATTCTAAATGGACTTACCTGATAAGATCTAAAATGCCTTAATTTCCACTGGACTAGTACAATCTGGGCTACAACTAATGTAGCCAGTAATATCAGGGCCATTTCAGCATGCATTGCTTCATGGCCCTTGTGTTTTTCATGTAACCGCTGGTGTTCGATTCTGAAAGGTGAAAAAAAAAATTAAATTTCTATATTATTTTTAAAATATCATATAAATGTAACAAAATAAAACCGGGATTAAAGCCTGATTGGGCGACCAGACTACTCTTATTCTGAATATCAACTGTCAAGGGTTGTTTTATGCACACTCCTTGAAATTGTTTGTCCCATCCAAACAACTACACGCTGTCAATACCAGGTATATAAAGTCCATACAAAATTCTCTTCTGTAACTAACATGTAATAATTTCCATTTGTATTAAGCGTGCTACCCCGGGGGTCGCGTGTTCGAGCCCGGCATTGGCTGGGCAAAATTTTCCTCATAGCACACTGTATGGCGTATGCCCATCTTCATTAGCACAGTTGGAGCAGAACAGTAGGACGTTAAACCCCATATCATTTCTTTTATGCGTGCAATGAGAATATTCACTGCCGTGTAACCCAATTATCATTCAATCTTATGTATTTCCATGCAGCGCTAATTTCTTTCGCATTCACTCAATTTGAAAAAATAAAATACTTGTAAACTGAATGGTCAGCTTTAAACTGGACACAATATTAATTGATAACCAGGCTACAGAGATAATTGGACAGGGGGTTTTACCGCCTACACTTCTTTCAATTCAAATGTGTACAGGGGTGGATCCTGGATTTTCGTTCCATACGAAACTTGGGGTGGATCCTGGATTTTCGTTCCATACGAAACCAGGGGTGGATCCGGGGGGGGGGGGGGGGGGGAGGGGGTCCAACACCCTCCTCCCTGCTCAGCTACATAATTGAACCTGGCAAACCCCCTCCTGCAAAAATTCCTGGATCTGGCCCTGGAAACACTAGACACAATATCCTTGACAACTTCACAAGCTCCACTATTAAGTTTGACAAATCCTGCCGATTCTTCCCACCCTATATCAGGATTTGTGTGGGTGGGGAGATGAGAATAAATATATATTACCTCCATCTTTCTTTCTCTGATAATTTGGATAAATCTATACCAGACTGTAAAATATAAAATTACATTGTCTAAAAAAACAGGTTGCCAGGCAACAAATCATACCCCTACAGTTGTCCAAGCAGTCCACTAGTTTTTAACCAGCACCACTGCCACCATCTTTTCTCGGTGATATTTTATAGAAATAACGATTCATACAGAAAATTCTGTTATAGTGAATCAAAGAAAGATTATATTGAGCGTGATTTTGTTTGTGATCCACGACAGAAAAATAAAGTTGTCTTTATTAATGTCTATTAAAAAAAACGCTTTTATGTATACATTCATAAAAAAAATGGGTAATGGTAATTAATTACAAATTTTAAAAAAGATATTTCGATTACCATGGAACATATAATACATTATATTATAAGGTCCATGATATTACCACAAATTTTAAAAAGATACGCTTTTTATACGATAATATTATCACAAATTTTAAAAACATACGCTGATTACCATGACATTATCACCCAATAAAAAAACCTCAGATAGATTTGCTGATTACCATGATATTACGATGTCTATCTCGGTCGTTTGTCTACATGTTATCAGTAGATTGTCGACAGTAAATAATTTGTCAATCAATAACAATGTTTTATTATCAAACAATGTTCTATAATTTGCCAATCAATAACAATGTTTAATTATCAAACAATGTTCTAAATTAATTATAATATTAATGGAACTCATCATCTATTTTAACAACATGGTATATGTGTCTGATAACAGGATATATTTTGTTTGTTGTATGTTTATAATAATCAATACACATATCAAATGGTCTGCTGTAACAGGTGGTTTCATATCAAATTTAATATCTACATGTACTGTTCACATAAATATCTCAATAATTTCATCTCTGAATAATTTTTCCAGACTATACTAGAAGATCTTGTAATATCTGTTATCAATAATATAACATTTATATTTGTGTCCTACACAAACATTTAGGTAATATAAATCAATGTTATGTAGTCGATACTATTCAAACATAAACAGATATAGAAAATACATCGATTTTCACATGTCACAGTCTCTTAAAATATGACAGAATATTTTAATAGAATTTGAATAATGACATGGAATCGTTGAATAGTAAAAGCTATATTTCATGATATAAGCACCACTCAAAAGATTTCTACGAAGGCTGACATATGTTTCTGGGCTCAAACAATCATAACACTAAGTATTTACATCGTGCTTCAAAGTTCAAGGTGTTTGTAATCTAATGATCATTTCTGAATGACTTAATATTTTAACTAAAATTTTCTGACTGGTAAATCAGCTTTTAAATTTCAACATGTGGTTTACATACATATAGTTGAAATTTTTTTTATTGATGGCCCCCTGTGAAATCTGTGGAATACAGAATTTGAGAAACATAAAGAACCAATAATTATATAGTACAATGTACTGGTGAATATATAATGATTAATATAGTCCCTACATAGATTATATAACAATGTACTGATTATACAGATATGATGATAATCATAGGTTATGTATGTATGTGATTATATCATTGAGATCTATGACCTTTTATATCACTTAATATTACCCAACGTATGTACTAGTCACTACTACAGTATGTATATAATATAGAGAGAAAGCCAAACAGAAAACATCTATCTGACTGAAAAAAAAACCCACCTCTGATTACGGTTATCCAGGGGTGAATTTTGGACGGGGGTAGATCTCCATATGTCACAATTTGCGAAAAGCACACAACAGGAGATCTGCGGGGTCAACGCTCATAAATTTGAAAAAAAAGAGCCACACTGCAGAGATGCCATTTTCGATTATTTCAGATTCCGATTCCCCATAACTGAGCCTGTATCCATGCCTGTTAACAAGGGTAGATTGTGCCTGGACCCATGCCTGTTATCGAGGGTAGATTGAGCCTGGATCCGTGCCTGTAACCGAAGGTACATGTAGATCAAGCCTGAATCCGCGCCTGTTACCAGGGGTAGATTGGGCCTGGATCTGGTCTGGATCTGTGCCAGTTACCAAGGGTTGATTAGCTAAACTATATACTAGCCTACATGTACATGCCAATACCATAACCATGTTACTATAAATAGTTCTGATATAATTAACCACCACCTTATCAATAAAAATCATGTACAATTACCTCAATCTTATAATGTGAACTAGGATAACGTGGAAACCGAATGGACATTGTCAAAAATTACGGATCATTTACTAGACTTTATTCAATGACATTGGTTTTATTCTTTCTTCAGATTCAATTTTCCTGTTTAAAATCAATGATTGTATTTTAATAGTATGTTATTACATGTACATGTGGCTAGGAAAGTTTTAAAAAAAAAACCCCACCAATATGTCAGAACACCTAGAAAAAACAAGTAAATCATCTATGGGTTTATAAAATAATTCTTACAGAAAGAGAGATAGAGAGAAATGGTGGTTAACATCCACTTGACGTCATTGTGGGACTAACACATGGTTCAATTTTATTTCAATAATTCGTTTGCGCGTAGGGGTCTTTAGCAGTGGGAGGAAACCGGAGGATTCGTAGAAAATCCACGAGACTGGACAGGCGACCTTACTCCTTGTCACCTATAATCCGGGAACTGAAAAATTCTTACAGAAAGATCAAATTTTCCCCTACTGTGCGTACTCTAAAAAGAATAGTTTTAAGTAGAAAGTACATATAAAAGCTACATATAAATTTATTTTTTTGTGTAGAGATTACATCGTTATCTTTCAAATGTGGTGGCAGACAATGGACTATGACTTGGAAATATTACCCATCATTCTGTGACAAAAGTCAAAAAAAATTAAACAGATATCAATGAAATGAAATGGGGTTTAACGTCCTACTTAGTCTGCTCCTAACCTGGGCTAATGAAGGCGGGTATACGCCATACAGTGTGCTATGAGGGAAATTTTGCCCAGGCAGCGGGGCTACGATCTACTCTTATATCGAATTCCAACTGCCAAGGGATCTTTTACATGCACGCCAATATGTACACGGGACCTCGTTTTTTTGTCTCATCCGAACGACTAGACAGCTGTCCTTGTCAGGCCCTCCGTCCTGCATCACTGACAAAATTTCTGAGCCGACACCTGAATCGAACACAGGACCTCCTGGTTATTATAATGAGCAGGAGCTAGTGCCCAGTGTCTTCTTTAAATTCTTATACACTGAGCAACCATGACTCTGTATCACAAAAGACCTGATCGATGTGCATGTTATGTCACAGTACGTAATTCTACGACTACATGCTTAATTAGAATATACAATGTCACAATGTGGTGTGACCCAACATTACATCAGGCTATGTGCCTCGGTGTTTACTGTATAGTCACTGTATTGCACGTACATGTAATAGTATTGACAGCAATTTACTATTAGCAGACACACCTACATACAAATCATAGTCTAATAGTACTGAAAGCAATTTGTAGACACATAATGTGATGTGTGACGTGACATATAATATGATATACCGGTTTTCCGGTACCGGTACATATAAATCATAGGAAAAAGTGACAAATTCAAAATGACTGATTGGCGTCCGCTACATGCAAGATCAGAAGGACCCACCGTTTACAAATTATAACATTATTATTGAAGGATTTCGGTCATTAATATAAACTTCCGAGGAACACAGAGAGAGAGAGACTACAGAAGGTGAGTGATGCCGATGGATGGAATCAAAACCTGATCCAATTCCAAGAGTTGAAAGAGCCGAAATTCATTACCATTTTAAAGCTAGTTTGTTACTGATCTTATGTGTAACATCTGAAAGGTTGGAAAATATGGCAAAAAATAAACCTGATATTAATTTCAATTCAATTTATCGCTGCATACTTACCGTATTTATCGGCGCATGAAGGTTTGCGTGATGATGAATATTGACATTGTTGACGTGGTCCACCATATTGAATACCCATTAGCTGCGCCACCTGGTGTAATTATCTCCCCTTATTGCAAATTAATGAGACCTTACAAATTGTTGAATTATTTCATGGACTTTTAAGTTATATATCCATGATTTTTTTAAAATTATGACTAAATTGTTCATTCAAATTTTTTGTTTGTTCATATTGTAAGTTATGTTTTATGATCATTTTTGTGTCGTTTCGTAGGTAGTTTTCCTTACGAACAGTTTACTGTACCAGTGTTATTTCGATGAAGGCTGTAATTAGGGGTAATATGATGACAATATGGAAAAATTGACTATCTTTGGCGACATGAAGATGTCATTATGCACCGCACACGCCCTCAAGTGGTTCAGTTGGTTATGTGTCATGGAGTTGCGCTGAGCAGGGTTCAGCAGTGTGAGATGAGAAGAGCTTCGACAGAAGAGAACATCTGTCTCACTTCAGGTGACATAATGAGGAACACTTCGTGCACAAGTGAAATAGATTTGGCCGAAAACTGGCGCTTGAAGAATGGCAATTCTTGTTCCAAGTCCTGATTCAGATCTAGATACGTAGAAACAAGCTCACCATCATCTGGATATAAATTTGAAAATCTGTCATGGCGATCAAAATCATGGGGGGGACGGAGACCTATTTGTCCCCCCCCCCCTAAATTCACGCCCATGTCCGTGGGTGTCTGTATGGTGCGGTTGTTTTGTCCGAGGGTGTGTCTGTGGTGCAGTTGTTTTGTTCATGTGGTGTGGTTGACTAGTTTGTGGGTTTGCCTGTGATGCAGTTGTCTTGTCTGCGTGGTGCGGTTGTGCGACTTTTCGTTGCAGAGTTTGTCGAAAACGTTGTGAATGTGATGGAGACCACAGTTTTTAACAGATCTTTTCCAAATTTCATGGGCGAATGAATCCTATTAATATTCAGCATTTCATGACCTTTTTTAGACAGATCCAGCGATGGCAATATGGGCGTAGAAAAACAGAAATAACAAAAATCACCATTATAATATAAAATTTATTTTACATAAATGATAATCTAAATCTTGATAACAATAAATTCTTTGTGCTGGTGGTTTTAATTAAATATGGCAAGTACAGAATATCTGTCAATTGCTGTTTAAACACATGCTAAAATATAAACATCTCATTTACCGGTTTAATAAATTTTTACATATTCATTTTCTACTTCAAAGTTAAGGATACGAATTCAAAGTCTTCAATGTTAGGTTAAACTGTTCTTTATCGCGTGTGTGTAAAGTATCTTTATTTAACGTCCGCTTCCACGGAAATGATATTGCTGACTATAAAATAGGGGGGATCTTGGATCTAGCACTAGTAATAAAACATGCAACATTGAATATCAAGGTTAGATAACACCGGTGACTACAGACAAGGTGACTACAGACAAACGTAACGTAACTTTAGAGATATATTAAACACCAGTGACTATAGACCACATTTTAGAGATAAATATTTAACACTGGTTAAGATTTGAATCTAATAAAGATATATAAAATGGTTGGATGTCGTAGGTTATATTTTAATACCCAATGTACTGAAATGCCTGTAATAACAGTAGATATAAACCTACGCAATCATATATTAACCTTCTAGAACGATGATATCTGAATTCAAATATCATTATTATGTTGTACAAGGCAGAGACATTCTATGGTTCTACCCCTCCTGATTTGAGATTTATTTTTTAAAAGAAAGACAAATCAGCATCAAATGGGCTATTATTAACATATTGTTTAAGTACCCAAATAAAAACAGAAAAAGGATACTCCAAACCTAATATAGGTTTATAAAACATTTTTAATAATCAACGGATATATTTAATAAACAGATGAACACACACACATTACCCTAACTACTATCATACCTGTTAAAATCAAACATAATCCCCTTTATCTAAAGTAAAAACAAACAAAAATAATCAATATAAAATTATTTATAAAGTAATGAAATATACAGCCTGAATCCACGTCCACACATCTTGCCTGGGGCTAAAAGAAATCTTTTGTACTTGAATAACGTTTTTTTTCGAAATTTGAAATATTATCTTCCAATATGTTATGTCAAAGTTTATAACTGAAAACCGCATCATTATCACAACATTGAAACAAGATATTATTTCAACACAATTGATGTGTTCATTCTTAAGACATGTCCAAAAAATTTTGATTCAAATTCATTTTAACCCCAAAGCAAAACTTTATTTTAAAAAAAAAAACAAAACACAAGTCCTTCCTGATAAAAATTATGGAAACACAGAGGGAATAATTTGAGGCACTGACAATGTATATATACATAAACATACACAACACTCTATGATTTTAAACATGTCTAGATACTGTCCAGTTGAGCTCACACAAATATTGAAATATTCCAATTTCAATATTTTTTTCATGGCTATTTCATCTAATTTTTTACCATGGTTATTCAACATTCAGTAAAAGTAAAGGAATCTTTTTTTTTCTTTTGTTTTTGTTTTTCCTATGAAATATTTTTTCAAATATAAAATCAAACTAATGTTCTTCAAACAGAATCCATGAATATGAAAATACACCCAGATTGGTCTATCAATTATCATTTTAAATAATTTAGAATACTGGACTTATAAAATCAGTATTTGATGTGAACACTATGTCGAGTAGATGACATGAGGTCAGGGCAAGTATTTGATGTGAACACTATTGTCGAGTAGATGATGCGAGGTCAGGGCAAGTAATGAGATCACTGGCTATAAAATGATGATATTTTAAACATTTGTAAGACACCAGGGGGTCCACTACACACTTCTTTTGTTCATTTTTAATGCCAAGTAACGCCAGCCTCACACATTTTGATGTTCTGTGAGACAACATTCTGTCGATATCACACTATGGCTTTTTATTATGGTAGGTAAGAGTCAACGCTTCCCCAGTAATAAGCAGCTACTCTAGATCTACAAATGTCTTAAGATCAACGCTCATACGATTCTCTCCACGATACGTAAAAAAATCATTGGAGACGTTCTCATAAGCTACTACCTTTTTTTTATCAAAGGTTATAACAGTGAAAATTACAGTCTGTGAGGCTAGCTTAAGGTAGTTTTTTTTGTTAATTATGTCAAATAATAAAGTTTCATTTTTCTTCACTACAACATAATGAGATACGAGATGTAACAAATCAATAAAAACTTTATCATCAACAACTAATATATTCTCATGTTTCCTCTATAATCATTTATAACTAAACCAACAGGTATATTGTTACCTGGCTTGGGTACAACTAAACGAACAGGTATATTGTTACCTGGCTTGGGTACAACTAAACGAACAGGTATATTGTTCCTCGGCTTGTTACAACCACATGAATATAGCACGAAAAACCCCATCTAGAGTGATGGTCATATTCCTTGTCAAAATTCAGCCATATCAACTCTAGATATCCCTCAATCCATGGAGTCAGTCATGTTGACAGACATGTATTAAAAGGTATCGAAAATAAAAACCCAGGTAATAAAATGAAATTTAACGTCCTATTTTCCTGCACCGATTGGGCGAATGAAGATGGGACACAGGGAAACAGTAAATGACATGTACAAAAGGAATTTTGACTGACAGTCCTGACATTTTCAGTGACAGAGGAATTTTGACTGAAAGTCCTGACACTGTCAGTGACAAAGGAATTGTGATTGACATGTAACATATATCCAAGCTTGATACGTCTGTACAAAAATAAAAAAAGCTGTATGCGATTAAATATGAATATATATATATATACATAAAAAACATGATCTTTGTGCTTGAAGGTTTGCGATGAGACAAGTTATAAGGACTAAAACAGTGGGGGGTGATCAGTTTTTATGTACAGATATATTTTAAGGCTACTATGATACATGAGGTTGTTCGATGAATATGAAATATTAAATCAGACATAAAAAAAGAAACATGAAAAACTCTGCTCGTTACATTTCGAAAAGTAGACTCCTGATCACTGTTCCCTCTTTAAAGTGTTTTTGCATCGGGATCACAAATGAAATTAATGTGTACACAAAATTTGGGCCAAATAGGAAAAAATTCTGATAATGAAACATCCCTTAAAAATTACTTGATGATGTGTTTTTAATTGCCAATAAAGCTTGATGAGTTGCTAGAGATAATTATAAATACCTGCAATCAAACTTGAGGGAACATTGGTCAAAATTATTTGTAATTTCAGAGTCTTTCTGTCTGGCATAACATATATAATAATATAACATTTATAACAACTGATCTATACTATATATGATAGTTATTGATCTCACAAACATATATATAAATTATATATATAATAGTTATTGGATCACATCAATAACAACTGATCTAAATTATATATATAATAGTTATTGGATCTCACAAACAAATGATCTAAATTATATATATATTAGTTATTGGATCACATCAATAACAAGTGATCTAAACTACATATATATGTAAAAGTTATTGGATCACATCAGTAACAATCGCTCTAAATTTCTAAAATCACATAATATAAAACTCTCCTCTTTTTACTCACGACACGAAAGCATACGAATATAAGAGAATATTTTGTTCGTACAGAAAACATGATTATAATTAATAAATCATTCTTAACAAATCTCTCTCATAATTATATCACAAAACCTCTTTATCAGGATTTCATCAGAATACAAAAAAATAAAATCCAATACATTTGATTCTTGGACCAGAAAAATCAGAATTTTCTTGGATTAATTCTACGATTTCCTGTTCTCTTGGATTATTTCTATGATCTCCGTCATTCTCAGCGTAAACCATGGATGCTGTTTCGTCCATTAATGTGATGCACGAGTCGACCAACATCCGACCAGGATCGTACACTACATAAAAAGTATTTGTAGTTGAAGTCTCTTAATAAAGGGAATGGAAGCTTTTTGCTGACCCTATTAACCCTGATTAAAAATGTCGGACAAGCAAAACAGCATCCCTGGCCAGCGAACATCTTATCACAACTGATATGTTCAAATTATTTATAGAGTACAGAAATTACCTAACGTTAATTATACGTCATGGACAAGGTATATAACCTAGTTCCGGCATCGTGCTGTTTCTACCCATTCCCATAATGCTACAGTTGGAAGACGGATTTAGACTGGATAATTTTAGTAGTCCGTTTTGTCGATCAGACATGTAGTCTTCATCATCTATGTCATTTTCTCCTAATATGAACTGGGGTCGTGGCTTCTTCTTTCTCTGCGTAGTTTTCGGTGCTTCTTCGTCTTCTTTTTCAGTATTTTCTACAGCAATCAGATTCTCTGTGAAAGTGAAACTCAACTGTGCCAAATGTTGTCGAACATAGTCTGTAATACTTGGGGAAGAGGCAGATACACTTAGAGTGTTGCTTGAGTTTATTCTTGTATCCGGGTCTTCTTTAGTCTGTTGATTGTCGCCATAAAGAACTGAAAATATTAATATCAATGATAATATCTATTAATAATAAAGAAATGGGGTTTAACGTCCAGGTCATTTCGGGACTAACATATGGTTCAATTTTATTTCAATTTCAATAATTAGCTGGTGCGTAGGGGTCTTTAGCAGTGGAAGGAAACTGGAGGCCTCGAAGAAAATACACGAGATTGGACAGGCGACTCTACTCCTTGTCACGTACAAGAGGGAAATCAAAACCACGCCACTTAACTCAATGACAGACCTTCTAATTAAACTGCGCGCGCTGTATCATAAAGTCTGTCATTGAGTCGACTGGTGTGGTTTCGAATCCCCGGTTGTACGTGGCAAGGAGTAGGGTCGCCTGTCCAACCTCGTGGGTTTTCTCCGGGTCCTCCGGTTTCCTTCCACTGCTAAAGACCCCTACGCGCAAGCGAATTATGTAAATAAAATTAAAAACCATGTTAGTCCCGAAATGACCTAGTTTGTGTCGAGTGGACGTTAAACCCCATTTCCCTCTCTCTCTAATTAAACACACCCCCCCCCCCCCCCCGCACCTAATGAAGTCAGGTGTACTCCATACTATTCGTCAAATTATAAATGCCAAGGCTTTGTTTACGTGCATGCAAACAGGTTCCTCGGTTTTTCATATTATCGTAACAACTAGACACTGTTCCTTATCAGGTTCCTAGTCCTGTACCACTGACAAGGGGAATCCAGTGGGAGGGGAAAATTTTCAATAATTAAAATACTGCTGTTACAAAGTTAATAATTACAAACCTTTCCAATCATCCACAGCTGATCGGGCTTTTATTTCATTCAATCGGAATTGGGCGTGTTCATTACCAGCTTTAGCTGCTTTATCATATAATTCCATGGCAGAAATCTTGTCTTCAGGTAAACCTTGAAACGAGAAAAATAACATGTAAAAATGTGCGAAGAAGACTTCAGCGAATCAAGATTAAGTTAGTCTGTAGCTATAATCATATAGTTTTGTCCATGATACATCATGTCCATGGTAAATCACATGATGTATTATGTCCATCAAAGAGAGATAGAGAGAGAAATGGGGTTTAACATCCATTCGACATAAACTAGGTCATTTCGGGACTAACATATGGTTTAATTTTATTTCAATAATTCTCTTACGCGTAGGGGTCTTTAGCAGTAGGGGGAAACCAGAGTACCTGGAGAAAACCCACGAGGTTGGACAGACGACCCTACTTCATGTCACGTACAACCGGGGAATCGAAACCACGTCAGTTGATTCAATGACAAACCTTATGATACAGCGTGCATGTGCTAACCATTTGGCCATCCAACCCCCCATCATTGTCCATCGTATATGACATGATAAACGATTGATCCTTCATAACAAAAGTAAACAAAGTAATTATTATTTTTTTTAATAGAAACCTTATTTATTGAAGTTGATTTATTTAATTACAATAATCCAGATTTTAACGCATTTTTTAGAATCTGTGGTATACCACCAGTACAAGCAAAAAATACTGTTATACTACTCACCACCAAGACCATGCTCATAAAAAACTGCCAGATTATACATGGCGCCATCATTCTCCGACTGAGCTGCTTTATGATAAAGTTCAGCAGCTTTACATTCGTTTACCTCTACTCCCAAACCTCGTTCATAACACATCCCTAAAAAACACTGGGCCTCGCTATCCTGAAATATACAACATCATAGGTACATGACTAAATGTAAGGTATGCAATTTAATGTGACGATCCTTCTTGATTTAACTAGCTGAACTTTTTTAAAATAAAATTGTTTAACGCTGCCTCTTATATTCTACCAGACTGAAACTTCCAGCGAATTATCAAAAGTGAATTGTCCACTGACTGAAGCTTCCAGTGAATTGTCCACAGACTCCTCAAGGGAATTATCCACACACTGAAGCCTCCAGTTAATTGTCCACAAGAAGAAGGAAAAACATTTATGTAGTCCGTTATCATTTGGAAATGAAATGAAATGGGGTTTATCGTCCTACTTTTCTGTTCCGATTCGGCTAATGAAGACAGACAGACAGACATCATACAGTGTGCTATGAGAAAAATTTTGCCTGGACAACTGCACCACAGGCTACTATCAAATTCCAACTGTCAGGCGTTATTTTACGTTGACGTTCTATTCGGATGTTATGCTTTGTCAGACACTTCATCCTGCACCACTGACATGGCCAATATTTTAGATATCTCGTAAAGTTTTGATTGATAAACAGCCACTATAAGTTTTCCTCATCGTACCACAATCATTGACACGAAAAACAATTATAACGATTTAATAATCATATTGAACATATGTGAACCCAGATAGCAAGATGAGTCAGAAGTCGAAAGCATTTTTAGTTATCATCATGAACAATCACAGGTCACATAGAGTTAGATGACTTACATTTTGATCAGCTGCTGATTTAAAGAACGCTGTGGATTTTTCTACGTCTCCAGTATCGGTGGATTCTGAATAGTAAACACCCAGATACTTCTGTGCCTTTAAACATCAAATAAATATCAAATATATAACAAACATCCACTTGACACAAACTACATCATTTCAGGACTAACATATGGTTCATTTTTATTTCAATAATTTGGTTACACACTACTAGGGTCTTTAGCAGTGAGAGGAAACCGAAGGACCCTGAAAAAAACCCAAGATTGTACAGGTTATCCTACTCCTGGTCACATACATGCGCAAAATCGAAACCATGCCACCTGGCTCAATGACAGACCTTCTGATCTAAAGTAGTACACTGGTGTAACCATTCGGTCAACCTTTTTCTCTCTCTCTCTCTCTCTCTCAAAGTCTCAAAATGTCAGACACTAGTTGATTAGTGTTTGATGCGAATTAAGATCAGTTGTTTATATCAACCTACCTGCGACAGACCATGGTCAGCCGATTTTTCAAGGAGTTCAATCATGGTATCTTCATCTTCCTGTAAAAGGGCTAGATTGTACAAGGCTTCAGCATGTCCAGATTCTCCAGCCTTCTCATAGTACTCCATTGCCTGAAAAGTACAAATGGATACAAATATAACGTTCACTTGACACAAACCAGGTCATTTCGGAACTAACATTTGGTTCAATTTTATTTCATAATTCGTTGCCTGTAGGGATCTTTAGCAGTGGGAAGAAATCTGAGGACCTGGAGCAGAGAGCCAATGGGGCTGGACAGGTGACCTCACTCCTTGTTACATACAATGGGAAATCGAAACCATGCCACTTAACTCAATGGCAGATCTTGTGCTTTCAGGTGTAAACAATCCCATGACTATGGGTTAAAACAAATGTTACAAAAACATAAGGTAAAAAAACCCAATAAAATATTTACCTTATCTAAATCTTTTTCCACACCATCTCCTACTTCATAACATAAACCAAGATTAAACTGAGAACTGGAATGACCAAGACTACTGGATTCCTTTAAACAGGAAACAGCTGCGGACATGTTACGAGATTCTATATGTTGCAGACCAATGATACTTTTACCAAGCGCCGAGTAGTTCTTGCACGATATCTGAAAGTCTTTCATTACTTTATCGAGATTACTGGTGGCAGAAACATTTGTCTACAAATAAAAATGTTATTAAATACAGGTTAATGACGTGTCAGCCCCAACAGGACCATAATTAGGTAGATCCTTATGGGTTAACATGTCAGCCCTAACAGGGCAATGATTAGGCGATCCTTACCAAATGTAATACAGGTTAATGATATGTCAGCCCTAACAGGACCATAATTAGGTGGATCCTTAGTCAATGAAAATGGAAATAGTTATTCATTTACACAAAAAGGACTGTATTCACTTCTAGCCTTAATGAAGTATAACTGAATTTATTAATTGAGCTGGAATTAAACAGGACACATGTCTGTGGAATAAATTTACTGATCATTTTTATAACGTGACTCAGGTCATCTTCAAGGTAATATTAGTGGTGAGTCTCCGATTCGACATTATTAACAAAGTATAGTTTTTACCTGTACATAATGTCCTATTATATCTTTTCATTCCTTGATAAAGACTGAAGAATCCTAGTGATAAACATCGCGCAGTAATAAAGAGTAAATTGTCTTCCATCGAATAATATTCTGTCCAAACGTCGCTCAGTAATAAACAGCTCTTGCGTTTCATAAATAATGTCCTGACTAAACGTCGCTCAGTAATAGATAGTACTTGTCTTCTATAGAATAATGACCAGGGTTCTGTTTCTCCAAATTTTAACTAAAAATAAAATCCAAATTTTAGTAGATACTTCAAGTTTGATTGGATAAGCACTAAAATCAATCTAATATTATCCAATCAAATTACTAAAATTTGGATTTTATCTTAGTTAAAATTTTGTGAAACAGACCCCTGTCCAAATGTCGCTCAGTTCCACAACGCAAAGTTCTCGTATACCACAAGATTATGTCCTGTCTAAAGCAATGATAAACCTTTCTCACCTTAATGTCTTCACGCTTCCCTCTTATGGAATTTTTAGTTGTTATAGATCCTGGAAGAGCAAACGCCACCTGGTAGAGAAAACTACTTCGTCTGTGTTCCGTTCCATCGTATAAATAACGGTCACGCCATCTTGGTCTTGATAACTGGATACCAAGAACAACTGCTGCACCCTGTAAATATTAACAATCAAGTCAATAATCTTAGAAAGAATAATTTCTCTATGGAAGATTCTGTCACTATTTACACTATGGTCAAATTTCTAACTGAAGATTAGACAAGAAGCTGGAAGTTCTCGCTATACACACAAGATAGTATCGAGAGTTGATTAAGGTCTTTTCATGTTAATAAATGTCTAATTAATAGTTTATATAACATTCAAGGCCTAAAGAAAGACCTGCAATAGGCAGATTTAGCTCCTGCATAATGTATGTTTAAACAACTTTCACTGAAATGTTAAAATCTTTTAAAGATCTTCAAGGATGGAAGTTAGCCATGCTGCATTTGTTGGAGCAGTTATAAAATCGGTGAATCTGCATTTATTACAGGTACACCATAACTTTCCTGAGGAGTAACCTAGGGAATCATGACAGGTGCACACGTTAAACCGTTTGGCCACTGAACCCCCCGTAATGTAAAACAGCTGCCGTCATCCAATCATTTGTGTTACAGCATGTTCAATTTTAAAACAAACTAAACTTACCCAAGTAACGGCCTCAAAAGCATTGTGACTTCCATTAAAAAATTCCCAGAAATCATTTCGACAAGAATGGCGTTTCCACCAGTCTTTTTCGTCCTGATCAGCTTGCTGCCATTTTACATGGGGGCCACATTCTTTCTCCTCTCTATAAAAACAAAATTAAGATAACTTAAAATCTTGGACCCCTGTTTTTTACAATTTAGTAGAATGGCGGGCTGTCATATTATGGAGCCATGATGGCTCAGTCAGCATGACGGTGGCTTGCTAATGATTAGGTCTCAGCCAGGTTAGCTCCCTGTGTTGACTAAGAAAGTTCCTCAGTATTTTCAAACAGGGATTCCTGTGTCTGTGGTGCAGGACGGAACGGTCCAACAAGGGACAGAGTCTAGTCATTTGGATGGATAAAAAAACCGAGATCTTGGGCACATTAGCATGCACGTAAAAAAAACCTTTACAGATGGAATTCAAAATAAAGAATAGGTCAAAGAAACATTCGATGGTAATGCCCGTCTTCGTTATCCCAGTTCATGCAGAGAAGTACAACCATATTTTTAAGGGGAATTTTAGCTACTCACCTTTTAAAATTACAAATTTGATTTTTCGATTCTTTTTCTGACGAGGTACATGTATTGTCAGTATCTAAATTGATTGCTTCCTCTTCCACACAATTTGCTCCTGTTGCTGCACGTGGGCCATGAAAATGTGCCCGTAATGCTGAAATAAATTATAGATTTGATGTTAAAAATTTTGTCCCATCATCATAAGGAACAGGTAACATTTGCGAACCCCCCAAAAATGAGAGAGACAAATGGGTTTTAACATCCACTTGACACAAACTAGGTCATTTCGGGACTAACATATGGTTCAATTTTATTTCATTAATTCCCATGTGCATAGGGGTCATTAGCAGTGGGAGGGAACCAGAGAACCCGGAGAAAACCCATCAGGTGGACAGGCGACCCTTCTCCTCGTCACGTACAACCGGAAAATCAAAACCACACCAGTTGATTCAATGACAGACCGTATGATACAGCACGCACGTGCTAACCATTCGGTCAACCCTTGACATGTATGAACTGGCTTGGCTATGTCTACAATGCTTGGTAGAAGAATTTTGCCCGGACAGCGGCGTTGCCATCACCTCTTCATCAAAATCCTACTGTCAAGGCTTTATTTACTAAAGTATGTACGAGGATGTATCTCCATTAATTTTGTCCATCCTGAATGAAGAGGGGGGCATCACTTCCAACCCATCAGATGTTACCCCAGACAAGGCAAAACAGGATTAAAAAATGCAAAGGTTCATTCTGGCCCAAGCTGAGAATTGAACCGGGGGCATTTTAAAGTCAGTGCTCTCTACCTTAAAAAATAATGGGACCCAATACTTTGATACAAACAATGTGCAAATATGCACCGAGCTACAATAAAAGACAACAGCTAGCTATAGCGGCGACCAGTCCAATGCATTCAACTTTAAATTTCAATTCTGCATACCAGTATTACATGTTATTTCAACTCATTAGTCAGCATATATGATATTCCCTATTACTGTACTGGGTCTATTTTTAATCAATAATTAAAATACATGCATGTGTCACAGAATTACTATGACACATATTATTATTATAAAGTATTCATTTTATATAATTTACCATCATCTAAAATCTGATCCAAACTTGGAAAACCCATGTCAAATCACCGCTTGTCTTAAACTATGCAACCTCAACTGAACTATCTACATAAATATTTGCAAGGGAATTCCCGATTTTGTTACTAAATATAGTAGTGACTCAATACTTCCGGTGGAAGTGCGCTTGAGCAGATATATAGATCATAACCTTCACGTGTACTTCAAATCTTGACAACAAACAATAATAACAAAAGCCAAAATGTCGTAACTACCATGTATTACCCCATTATTGTCTCACAATTTGACAAATTAATATAAATAGCAACTCTATTAGTCATGACAAATGTGTACGCACAAGCCTGGGCTATAAATGTTAACAGCTGCAAATACAAAGTCAAAAGCAGTCCACTCGATCGTAATGGAAAATTCCAGTTGTTTTGTTTACAGTTCTACGCTTTTATTTTGACATTAAATCTTTGTCATTTGTTACTGGATAAAATCAATCAAATAAACTCACCTCTTGGTATTCCATTGAATATCCTCCACATGTTTCACGGCGCTTGAAGATCCTGGCTGCAAGAAAAATCCCCTTTTAACCGCAGCCAAGAAACTGCCCTGTCCCATGGGCAGCCATCTTGAAAAATTGCGTCATTACAATATCTCGTTCTGAAAGTCCGCGAAATTTGAACCCATAGATTTTCTTGCTGTTGTAGCAGAAGTGGTTTATAGCGGGGGATCGAATTGATATTTTTGAAATGGTGGGGTTTGTGATACAGGTGTATGCATTATCTATAACAAGTGCATCATCACAGCTTGGTCAGTTGGTGACCACCCGTCCGGGCACGTCGCAATTAAGACTGTCCCGCAAAATGCTTCCAACAAATCCAAGTCCGTCGCGTCCTGAAAACCAGCCAACGAAATGAAATGAAATGAAATGTGGTTTTATGGCACGTCAGCTCCAACCGGGCTATATTGCGCCAAACATAATAATGATTCTTTGAGACAAGCTAAATCATATCACAAAAATTTTATATGCATAAATAAAAACAATATCACAGTTTTATCAAATTTAAAAATAAAAACAATCTTTTATGCATATAAACAATAAATATTACATATATATATATATTATAAACAAATTAAAATTTATAATAAAAACCTGTCTCTTTTAAAAAGTTTAGCATTTCGCAATATAGCCCGGGGTGGGCAAATAAGTGATGTAGTGACTGGCAACGATAATATCGTGATCTTGTATTCTTGAGATGATTACACTCAATCAAAATGTGCTTCACTGTCAAGGGAACATGACAATGTTCACATTCTGGTTGAGGCTCTCGCTTTAAGATGAAAATATGAAATGAAATGAAATGTTGTTTAATGGCACGTCAGCTCCAGCCGGGCTATATTGCGCCAAACATATGGTGAATCTATCAAGACAAATTAAAACAATATCACATAATTGAATTTATATATGTAAATAAAAACAAATATCACAGAAAATATATTAATTAAAAATAAATATAACAAATCTTTTACATATACAAATATTTAAAACAATATACATGATCAAATATATACAATTAAAATTGAAAATAAAAGTTTGTCTCTTTTAAAAATGTTAACACTTTATCATATAGCTCCGGTTGAGCAAATAGCTGACGTACTGACTGGCAACGGTAGTATTTAGATCTAATATACTTGAGATGTTTGCACTCAATCAAGATGTGTTTTACTGTCAAAGGAACATGACAGTGAACACATTCCGGTTGAGGCTCTCGCTTCAAAATGAAAATATGAGTTAAAAAGGTATGACCAATGCGAGAGCGACACAAAACAACTTCATCCCTCCTGTTGGTTCTATAGGAGTTGGGCCAATCTCCTAGGAGAGGCTTAATGTAATGAAGTTTATTTGTGCCTGCAAGATCCCAAGACCGTTGCCAGCGGTCATAAATGAAATAATTTATACATGCTTTAAAATCTTTATATGGTATTAAAAAGGGTGATTGGGGAAGATCTAAAGCAGCTTTGGCAGCAAAATCTGCTTGATCAGTCCCCCTTATATCAACGTGACTGGGGAGCCAGCAAAAGACAACGTCTTTGCTGCTCAACTCGTAAGATAGTAGCAGACGATAAACATCTGCTACCAATGGGTGTTAAAGCTGTTTTTTGTTAATTGCTTGAAGCGAGGACAGAGAATCAGTAAAGATGATATGCTTTAAAGATGAAGAGGATTGTATGAACTCCCAAGGCCTGAAGAATGGCCTGGAGCTCCGCTGTAAATATTGAAGCAGCAGGTGGAAGACACACAGAAATGGTCTCAGATGGCGTCACGGTAGCCGAAGCTACCCGGTCGCCATCCTTAGAACCATCTGTGTAAATAGGAGCATAATCACCATACTTAGACCGTAACTCTCTAAAGAGAGATTGGAACACCGTAGAACTAGTATCTCTCTTTTTATGTTGAGTAAGATCGAAATCGATCTTTGGGGGAGATATAGCCCACGGTGGAGTCCTAAAGACAGGGGTATTCGCAATACTGTCAAGGCTGATACCAGCCTCAGACAAAAGGGGTTGTATGCGAATACCGAATGATGGAATAACATTAGTCTTCACTAGATACAAATGCTCATGAAGAGGTCTAAATATGGTGTTAAATGAAATGTGATTCGGAAGTGATGCTATTTTCGTAGCATACTGCAGGGCCAGTTTATTACGTCTGTTGTGCAGTGAGGGCTCATGCGCCTCGACGTATAAACTGTCCACTGGAGATGTACGAAATGCTCCTAAACTGATTCGAAGTCCCTGGTTGTGTATGGTGTCGAGCTCTTTGAGATAAGACTCGCGGGCAGACCCATACACAATACACCCATAATCGAGTTTGGATCTGATCAGTGCTCGATATAATCTGAGCTGTATTTGATAAGACTCAATATGTTGAGGGCTTTCAGACATTTCTTTTTTAGGTTTTTAATGTGGGGGATAAATGATAATTTCTTATCAAATATCAGCCCCAGAAATTTGGTTTCATCCACAACTGGAAGGCGGCTGCCATCCAAGAAAAGTTCTGGATCAGGATGCAAACCTCGTTTCTGACAGAAATGCATGCAGACAGTCTTGGATTTCGAAAAACGAAAACCATTTTCGGTTGCCCATTTTTGAAGTGAATTCAAACAAAGCTGCAACTTACGTTCGATTATCCGCATGTCTGTAGAACCATAGCACATCTGAAAGTCATCAACATAGAGAGCCCCGTTTGTACCTGGTTTAAGGCACGCTGGGATAGTGTTAATTTTAATTGCAAACAATGTTGGAGATAAAATACTTCCTTGGGGAACCCCCATTTATGGGTCAGAGAAGATTGATCCCAGTCGTACCTTAAATGACCTATCTTCCAGGAAATTTTTAATGAAGATAGGTAAGCGACCTCGTAAGCCGAGATTATGGAGGTCGCGCATGATACCATATTTCCATGTAGTATCATATGCTTTCTCAAGATCCTTTGGGACCGAAATCCAAATTGGAGGTCAGTAATAAGGTTGTTGGACTCGAGGTACCAAACCAGCCTTCGATTGATCAATCTCTCCATGGTTTTGCAAATACAGCGAGTTAAAGCGATCGGATGATAGTTGGTAGGATTCGTATGATCTTTACCCGGCTTAGGGATGGGAATTATTGTGGCTTCATGCCACGAGGGAGGAAAATTCCCATCAATCCAAACCCGGTTAAAAAGATCTAATAAAATTAAGAGAGTTGGAAAAGGTAAATGTTTTTGAATTTGGTAGTGAATTTCATCTAGACCAGTTGCGGTATCGCGAGCTGTTTAAGTGAGTCACGGAGCTCTGCAATAGAAAAAAGATCATTGTAACATTCATCATTACGGGACTTGAAATTAAGTCGCCTTTTCACCTGTTGATGTTTAATGACCCAAAAGGCATTAGAGGGGAAATTGGATGATGAATTGAATGAAAAAGTACTGGCCGGTGAATTAGCAATATCAGGAAATGTTGTTAGGGTGGAATTATCAACATTGAGATGGTTAACTGATAATGCACTACTTTTACCTTTAATCCTACGAATCCTATCCCATACCGATTTTGATGTGGTACGGGAATTGATCCTTGAGACATAACCTTGCCATGAAGACTTCTTTGCTTGTCGTATGGTTCTACGGGCCCATCCATTTGGTATGCCGCAATATTCTCCATGGAAGGATGGTTCTTTAAACGTCTCAGGATACGATCACACTCTTTGAGAGCGGATTTGCAATCGTCATTATACCATGGTTTATTGAAACGTTTTGGTTCAGTTGTGGTCTTTGGAATCGCCTGCTCAGCTACATCTTGAAGAATTGAAGTGAATAAGGCCATGGGCTCGTCTGCATCTTCTAACTCTTTTGCGTCAAAAGAGAAGAGACACAAAGATTCAAACAGAGCCCAATCAGCCTTATGCAACTTCCACCTCTAAGGTCTTTCGACTGGAGAGGGACCATTATTATCAATTAAGATAGGAAAGTGGTCACTACCACAAAGATCTTCATTTACTCTCCATGTAAAATCCTGAAACAGGACCGGAGAGCAAATGGTAAGATCGAGGGAAGAAAAAGAAGCTGTGGCAGGATGTAGATAAGTAGGCGAGTCATCGTTTAATAAGCACAAATTATTATTGTTAATGAAGTCTACTATTTGTCTACCTCTTAAGTTATCATCTGGACTACCCCAGAGTGGATGATGACCATTGAAATCTCCCATAAGAATATATGGGAGAGGAAGCTGGGCAAAAAGGTCATCAAGATCTCTGGGGTTTAAATTAAGGCTTGGTGATAAGTATAGCGAACAGAGCGTAAAGGGAATGTGTAATGTCACCCGAGCGGCTACTGCCTGCAAAGGAGTATTCAGGGTGACTTGACTCTGTGGAATGTCTCCATTGACAATAATGGAAGTACCACCATGTGCTCTACCATCATTAATTGAAAAATGATGGTAGGAGACAAAATGCCTGAATGACAAACTATCAGAATTTTTAAAAAAAGTTTCTTGTAGACAAATAGCTAATGGATTTTTATTTTGAATTAAAAGTTGAACTTCATTAAAATTTGGCTTAAGACCACGACAATTCCATTGTATTGACCATATTCAGGGTGGTTTTACAGGACTTCTAGGAGGTTTGTTATGGGGAGGGGCGTTGTGTTTTTCAACAACAGTAATACCCTCCTCCATCGACTCTACTCCAAATCGATTATATAAGTCTATGGAAGTGGAACCTTTCCGGTTCCCTTTTCTATATTTATCTAGAGAAGAGTCTATTTTTTTATTTGGCTTCTCGGGTAAGGGATGTTTTTGGGTATTACCTGCTCCCTTGTTGTCAGTGTTTTTATTTTTAGTATTATTATCATTATTGGTATTATTTTTTCCCGAGCCGACATACGTTTGTGTTAAGCTCGTAGTACCCGTAGAGGCAGTTTTATCCTGTAAAACCGGTGTTTCTCCTTTTAGACAGGATTCCGATGTCTGGACGCTAATAGATCTCATCTGGACTTTCGCTTTACTAGCGAAAGACCCAGTAGGTGGAATAAGTGTTGTTACTTCCACCTGTTTTTTAGCGTCGTAATAAGGGATCTTCCTTTCAGACATGACCTGTTGAATTTTCTTTTCCTTTTGCCAAACGGGGCAT